CAAATTTCCATATCATTACAAAAAGCTGACAACAATCTTCTTACTTTGTTAAATAAAGAATCGACTTCATATCACTTGGGACTCTCCCATAATTATTCCATCCCCATCTTCAGCAGCAAACAAAGAGTTCCAATTCCAATAGCACCAGTGACTGTCTGAATGTATATCCCTTGAGTGTTGAGCTTTGGCCAATGTTTTGCTCACAGCAGAAATGGTGGGACTGAGGATAAATACAAAGAAAACTAAAATCATGACAAACAGTCCAAACCAACAACCAGTGACCATAAATAACCAATCACTTGAAAATGTAGAACATTTCACATATCTTGGCCATGTGGTGTCCCTACTGGGAGGGACAGAGGAAGACATACAGTCATGTCTGAACAAAGCTAGAGCTGATTTTGGAAGGATGAGGCAAATCTGGAAATCCAACAATTACTGCAGAGGAACGAAACTCCGACTCTACAAGAGCATCATTTTGCCAGTTCTTCTTTATGGAGCGGAATGCTGGAGAATGACCAAAAAGGATGCACACAAGCTGTCCACTTTCCACCACACATGTCTACGTAGAATTATCAAAATTTTCTGGCCAGATACAATCTCAAACACTAAACTACTTCAAGCCACAAACCAAGAAACTTTAGACAGTATGATTACCAAGAAAAGATGGAAATGGCTTGGCCACGTTATGAGAATGACTTCTGATATACCTGCCAAAACAGCTCTCACATGGACACCAGAGGGAAAGAGAAAACAGGGGCGCCCAAAAACAACATGGAGACGAACGATGGAAAGTGACCTGAGTGCGGCATCTTTGACATGGAAAACTGCAATGAAGATTGCACAGGACAGGAAAGCATGGAAAGTCCTCTCTGAAGCCTCATGTGCCACTAGGCATAACGAGAACTGATGAGTTGAAGTTACAGACAAAAATGTCCTAATATTATTTATTTTAACCAAATAAGTTATTTTTCTTTCAGTTCTTTTGGGGAAATGGTATGTTTCTACAACTAGTTTTTATGGATATGTTATAATTTTAATATTTCTAATTAAATTTTAAAAAATTTGAAACCAATGTGTTATGTGATTCATTGAAACAGTACTGGTGAAGAATAAGCCATGCATAACCTTCGAGGAAGTATCATTTTCAGGACATGAATTCTTAGAACACCATAGACTAAAAAAAAAAGAAACATGGATATCAAACATAAGCTGAACATTGAGGTGAACTGGCTCATAAACAGAATACTGTCTGAAAGCCAAGATATTGTGACCATGTTAAACGTCAAGGTGGCCTGGGGAAAAAATAGCAATGGAGAGGAGTTTCCAGAAAATGAGGCCAAGGATGATCTCTGGGAAGGTGAGTAGATACAAGATAAAGATGCACTGGTTATAAAAGCACACAGGGCTGGAGAACTGGCTAGTTACTTTTGGGCGTGCCGTAATGAAAGCCCCATTCTGTAAAAGACTTGTTGATTGATGATTACCATTATCTTCTTCTTCATGTTCACCAGCTGAAAACTATGGTGGAAAGTTCTTGGTGTTCGTCCACTTCTGGACTCTAGTCCTGTTCCAGAACCTGAGTGTTGTGTGTACATCCATATTTCAGATCTGACTTGTGTTATGCAGACTGTTAGTTCCTCGTGTGTCAGGCAGATGCACTCCAACTTCAAAGGAAGCTCCTAACTTCAACGACATGCTTTTGGGTAGGCAGTGGGACTATTCACAATACCCAGAACCCACAAGCGGAGATGACCATTGTTAAGTAGCATGCTGTCCAATAATTAATTTAAATACTAAAATAGAATAATATAAATTATCAAATCTAGTAAGTGCATTTGTCAGTTTTTATTGTTATTATGCGACCAGCATAGTTAGTTCTTGGTATATTCAGTCCACGAATATCTCATTACTGAAGGAGAAACTTACACTGCATGAATCAGAATAACAATCAAATAAAATACTGCATTTTTTTTCATTAGTGTTGTGTTTTATCAGGCTATATGGCTTAGAGATTAATGAGCATGAGAAGCAATTTATTTTACTTGTGCATCTGTTTCCATTTTAAAAGTTGATTGGTTTTTATTTCAGTAGACAGCAATAAAATAAACTTTTTATGTCCGGCTACAGGTTATATCATTAACAAGCATGACAAATATAAGAAATATAATAGTTTACCATTTTATTGTTTATTCTGCATTTATAATATATTCTTGACATGAGCGCAAACAAATCAGTTAAGTAGTTACCCAGTTATTATTATTCAACCGTAGAGTTACACAGTCCTTAGCCAGCTGGACATGACTGATAAAATACATCACACAAGTTGAGTTGCACAGTCCTTATCCAACTGGACATGACTGATAAAATATGTCACAAGAGTAGAGTTCCACAGTCCTTATCCAGTTGGACATGACTGATACAATACACCACACCAGTTGAGTTGCACAGTGCTTATCCAGCTGAACATGACTGATACAATACAACACAATTTGAGTTCCACAGTCCTTATCAGAAGGACACACAGAAGGACATGACTGATAAAATACATCACACAGGTAGAGTTCAAGTTTTATCCAGAATTCTAAAAACCCAGAAAACTATAAATTTTTCTGAGATCATTTGTACATAAAATTATGTTTGGTTAAAAATGCTCAGTGTGCACTGATGTCAGTTGTGATAAATGTAACATATGACAGAATCACTAATGTGCAGCATTGGAGAGGGGAAAAACAGACAGACATTTCACTGAATCAGCAGGTCAAGAAAATATGCTAGTACTAGATAGGAGACAGATTGAGAAAACCTGTTAATAGTATAACTAGAAAGTTCTTTAAGTGAACTTTAAATGAAAAATAAATGGAAGGAAACCTACAAACACATGCAGAGAAGTATTAGAGACATTGTCTTCCTTTTCAGCGTTCTGAGCCCCTGAGATTCTCTGCTGCAGATATTACCCACCCTCCGTTCATCTCTACAACTAGCCTTCTCTTTTCCAGTTGGTGACCCCAAGTGTTTGTAGGTCTGCCCATATGTTATCTTTCTCCAATCTTTTTGGTTTACCTCATGGTCTAGTTAGGAGTCCTCGTGGCGTTGTTGACCAGACGCCCGCCTGCGGATCGAAAGATCGTGGGTTCGTGATGTGAGGGAGCAGGACATTTTTCAAAAATAACCTTTGACTCTCATGTTGACCCAGCCTTGAGTGGGTACCAGGTGCAGTCCTTGGAAGTAAAAGTGACCGGCATGAAGTGCTGATTGGTCTCTAAAAATATAGGTCTAGCCCTATATTCCCAATACACCTAAAGGCGTGGAAAAGGACCTTCACATGGTCTACACACGACATTTAGGAATAATATAAGGACGGCCAGGATAGAAATGCAGGAGATGACAAAAGATAGGAAGACTTGTCTGAGTTGGTTTGCATCTTTGATGGGTCTGAAGTTTTGTGAGATTCTTTTCTCAGCAGTTATTTAGTTTATTTCACATTATTTTTCCCTGTGTGGGTTCACGGGCTTTATTAGTGGATGGGGGAACGAACGAACGAACAAAAGGTTACAAATTGGGCAGGCAGGCCCGTCTGACATTCGACCCTTCTAAGTACTCATCTTTAAGAGTACCAGTGCATGTTATCAATAATGCATGTTATGTTTATAATTAGAAAATATACATTATAGAATAATGAATACACACATTTATACACAATCATTCACACTCAAACACACATACACATACTCTTACATTCTCAGAAATATACATTCACACTAATATACAGACATAGGTAATAAATACATACACACACTTACATACATACACACACATACATACATACATACATGCATACACCCACATGCATACATACACCCACATGCATACATAATACATACACACATAATGCACACATACATAATGCACACATACATACATAGGCATACATGCACACATACATTCCATACATACACACCTACGCATGCATGCACATACATACAATCACATATACCGACACCCGCATACACACACATATACACTCACACACAATCACACATGGATACATACATCCACACATACATATATACTTGCATACATACCTAAATATAAAACACACATACACTCACATACTTTCACAGCTTCATATGCATACATACATCCACCAATATGCATGCATACATACACCCACACATCTACATACATACATACACTTACATGCACACACACACATATAGATACCCACAAACATACATATATACATATTGGATACATGATATATACACACACACACACCCACAATCACGCATACACCCACACAGATACACTGCCCCATAAAAATGTGACTAATTAAGGATTTGCTGAAATCACATGTGCTAGGCTGAAAGGTGCAGATTTTGCAGCCTAGCTGTAAATTATAACACAACATGCCAACCGCCATTTTAAGGACGAAAACATAAGGAGAAGTTTTTTTAAAATGTTTTTTAACTCTGTTGATAAAGTATATACATGATAAAAGTATACCTGTCAATAAATTGTGCAATCTGCTGTTTGGTTCTTCTTTATTTAAAAAAGTGTAGTTAACTAGTTTTAAACCCATAAAATCTGAAACTAAAATATTATACCTTATTTGCAACTGAACACTGAATGCCTGGAAATGGCTAAAGAAAGTAGAACATTATATACAACAATGAGAAGAAGACAAAGTTCTGTGGTCATGTAATGAGAAAATGAGCACTGGAAAATATCGTGACTGGAAAGATCACTGGTAAAAGAGGCAGACCAAGAGAAATTATGGTGGATGGCTTAAGACAGTAACATGGAGGAATATCATCAGTAGAATTGATCCAGAACACCAAAGACCAAGATCTGTGGCGACACATGAACGCCTACGCTAGCTGTCAAGGCACTTGATGATGATGATTCTAAACTTTGCAGTTATTATTTCCAAAAAGTAACTGCCCCAAGAAACAAGTGAAAACAAACAATGTCACATGAGGTTTACAGGCCAGCCTATTTCAATCGCGTGAAATTCTTTTGGACCTCTGTGCACTGTTAAATGCTTGCCATGTTCCAGCTGTGACTCTGTCTCCCTTGGTTACAGTGCTGAAGTCTAAGTTCACCAGGGTGGGAATAGTTGATAAAACATACTGACGATATCCCTGAGAGAGGAAAAAAAAACAAGCAGATCAAAATTAAAATCATACCGTCTGAATAAAAACGTTTAATTAAAGCATGCAGATTTTTATTTTAACCCAGGGCTCCAAAGTCTGAGGATTGATTGGCCGAATATTAGAATGCTGGGCTCACATGCAGGAAACCCAGGTTTAAATCTTTGGTAAGGGTGGGGATTTTTTCTGTTGGGGGCACACCTGTACAGTCCATGGCGACAGCACTAGTTAAATCTTTAGGCTCAAAGACCCCCCGCCCCACATGCCTACACCGCAAAAGTGGTATCATAAAGGCAGTAACTAGCAGTTTTTAGCTCCCAGGTCAACACAGCCTTAAATGGGATGGAGCCTTAAATTGTTCTGTAAAGGTGTTGATGAAATGGTGACCAGATCACACTTTAAATTCCTACTGGTGTGTAAAACATATTTCGGTCTGAGTATTATTTCTCTATAAACTAGGCAATTTAACATTCGGTAATTTGCCACTGCATTTTGAACGGTCGGCTGTCGATACCACTATCGAAGTCAGTCTGCTGCCAAACTGCGTGTAGCTTGAATCAAACCAGCTCTCTCAAATTTATAAACCAAGTTCAAATACTGTATACCGACACAAGTTGAAACATGATCTTCTTTCTTCTCTTCTTTTTCGTGGCTCAAGGTGTATAGGGCCACACCTATGATTTATAGACCAACTGCCACTCATGGGTAATGTGGTCAACCACACCGGTCGCCTTTACTTCCTAGGACTATACCTGGTACACACTCAAGGCTGGGTAGACCTGAGAGCCAAGGCCGTTTCTGAAAAGAAACAAAAAGTCCATCATTGACAGGACCTGAACCTGCCACCTTCCGATCTGCAGGCAAGTGTCTAGCTGCTACAACACGACAGCGCCTATGTACCATGTTACCAAGCACTAAATAAAAACCATTATAAATAGCATATACACATCCTATAAAAAAAACTGCCCAGCATTACATAGAACAGAGTGGCAGGTTTTGTGTGTTAGTGCTTCCGTGGATACACCTTCACGACTCTTAACTGGTCAAGAACTATGTTATGTTATTATAAATTGTATGATGATGATAAGTATAACTTATGATTATCATCTGAACCATGCTATCAAGATCTACATACCCTTACAAGCCGAACCCTCAACAGACTGTCTCTACTGCCTGTATTAACCACTTTTTACCGTGGACATGCGCGAGGCTGAGGATTTACGACTGTGTGGCTATTTTTTGCCCCTAACAGCAAGAACAAATGTTCTTACTAAGGATTCAAACCTAGGTCTCCCAAATGAGAGCCCAGGATTCCTAACTGTTCGGCCTGCTGTTCCCCAATATTAGTCTACATATAGGTTAGTTGCATATCCTTTACAGGACGTTGCAGAACCAACCCCAACAGCCCCTGGCTGTTGTGGTTTTTCTAGGCAAATTTACATTCAGTAGTTTGAAATTGCTTTCTGGAAGGTCGGATTTCTTGATACCACAGTGGAAACCAACGCAAGGCACATGGCCCACAGCTGGGATTTAACCCGGCAATTACGAAGCGTTCGCATCGACTTACTATAAGTTGCACAGATTCCTATTTCAAGTCAAATATTTGAGCAAACAATACTTTTGTTTACCTTTATTTTGTCAATATCATTTCCATGCAGTGTCAACTTCCAGAGTTTCTTCAGACTGGCCAGCTTATTGACCTCTTTCAGCTCTGTGATATTGTTGCCATGGAGATATAGTATTGCTAGATTCGTAAATTCGGTTAGGACCTAAAGTTGAAAACAGAAAACACATAGAATTTCAAACAACTGCTGAATCTGTTATAAAGATAGTTTCACAGCAGACAGTGCTTTTAGTAAGTGAAATTTTTGGCCATGGAATATTTTTGGGTGCTACACCAAAGTCCCCTTAGAAATTGTATTTGAACATTTTACTTCCACTGAAACTTGTGTAGTTGCCCGAAAAGTAATACTTCATTTTGACCGATTTGGAGTCCCCAATGTGGGAAAAACAAGAACAGAACTACTGCTTCTCTAACAAGCATGTCGTAAGAGTCGACTAATAAGGGGCTACCTTCAATGTCGCAGTGCATCTGCTTGATAGGTGAGGAACAAACAGTCTGCACATAAATAATCCAGATGTATAAAACAGATGTGCACCCAAAACTCAATTTTGGAACAAGACCAAAGTCCAGAAGTGGAGGAACAACCAGAACTGTCTGCTGGAGTTTACAGCTAGTGAACACAAAGAAAAACTATTTTGCTATTTTGGAGCATAAATGTGTCCCTTGTGGCTAAGTGACAAATTACTGCCAGGAAAGCGCATTAAGGTTATTCTGGTGAAGTGCCAACAATATGAAGTGGATGGCTAGTTTCCCTTCTTATCACCTTTCCATCTCGGACAATTTCAGGAGAATTCTAGGAACTTTTTTTCTTTTTCTTGGGATTCACCAGCTTAAAGTCCAGCAGAAAGTTCTGGTTGTCTGACAACTTCTGGACTTTTGTCTTCTTACAGAACTTTTTCTTCTTCTTCACTTCCTCTTTTACCGCTGTGGGTGTCGAGGGAGATATAAGGTTCTGTTTCTAGCTCTTCTGGCTGCCTCGACCATAGGCACATCGTGCTGTTGTAGAGCTTCCCTGATGTTATCCTTCCATATTGTTCTTGGTCTACCTCGTGCTCTACGTCCTTCTTCTCTTTCCATGTATGCTTTGTATGGTATGGTGTCACAAGGCATTCTCTCTAAGTGAGCAAACCATTTCACTTGCTGTCTTTGTATGTAATTTAGAATTGGTTTTGTGCCGACTTTTTCTCTTATGATCTCATTCCTGATCTTATAAGTTCCCACCAACACTTGGAGGGTACAGGTTAAATAAAGAGACATGGTTCAATGCTGCAGTTTTCGCCTACGATGTGTACGAGGGATTTCAGATTAAAGAAGAGACATGTGCGGCAGTGTTGGACTTAGAAGATGCCTACAATAAAGTACCATACGATTATTTAATGCAATTACTGCTTAAACTAGAAGTTAATCCTATTCTGATCCGCTGGATTGCTGCGGTCCTGTTCCAGAGAAAGATTGTACTAAGATGTGGTAGCTGGTCCTCAGAACCACAAACGATATATCCAGGCTTGCCACAGGGATCACCGCTATCACCAGTCTTATTCAACGTTTATACGGTGATGATCACTGAGCAGCAGTTGAATGGAAAGGGGAGGACTTTGTCATTTGCTGATGACATTTTGATTTATCGACGAGGGCGTGATAGACAGGAGATCGCCAGCACTATGCACAAAGAACTCGATCGAATTGCCGCCTGGTGTGATGGTTCCAATGCCTATGTCAATCCTTCGAAGGCATCAGTGTCATGGTTCTCTTTGAACAATCACATTGTCAAGTCGGAAGACCAGAAGTGAAAATGCGTGATAATGTATTGATCAGAACGCAACGTTATGACGTTTCTAACGGTGAGGTTCGATCGCAGCTTGTCATTCAGGGAACACGTTTGACCATGTGATAACAAAAGCACGCAAAGGTCTATCTGCAATGAGGATTATGGCTGCTTCCAACATTGAGCAAAGACTACTAATACTTCTATTCTACGGTCTGGTCCTTTCCCCCATTGAATACGCTCTGGCCATCATCTCACTGTCAGTGCTACCCAGATTGAACGACTCGTAAAGGTGCAAAATGAAGCCATGCGCATTATTTTGGGATGTACTAGAGACACATCCTGTGGAGCAATGAGGTATCTACTTGACTTTCCAACAATGAACCAAAGGATCAGGATGTGGAGGGCTCGGGCATATCTCAAAATATGTGCTGATAAGAAATCCCCACTGCATCAAGCGCTTTTTAGTGAAAAGGGCGACAGACTGAAGAGGGGAAATCGTGGCTAGGTCGGGCAGAAGATGTTATTAGGCAAATATGCAGCCTAACCGACATCATACCTGGTGCAGAATGGATACCTGTGCCTCAGGCGTTTATTTGTACATTTTCCTGTATTGTCACACTCAACAGGCGATGTAGAGAAGAGAATCCTGTTGCTGTTAATGCAGAGGTCAACGCTCTCATCGGTGAAAATTCAGACGAAGCAGATGCAATAATCTATACAGACGGATCCGTTATACGCCAAAGAAGAAGCGCATGGGCATTTACAGCACTTCTCAGCGGGCAGAACAGTCAAAGAAGCCAACGGCGCCTTCTCCATGACAACCAGCAGCATGACGATGGAGGTGATGGCAGTGACACAAGCGCTTGCCTGGCTTGAAACACAAAATTACACCCGCGTGTGTATACTCAGTGATTCAATGAGTATGATCCGGAGGGTTCAGGCAGGTTCAGTGCGAAGACAATGGCTTGAATCATTACAGAAGTCCACTGTCCGTGGAGTCACCGTTATTTTTGTTCCGGGACACGCAGGCGTCGATGGAAATGAAAGAGCTGACAGGTTGGCTGGATCCGCTATCACTACCGACGGTCAGCCTATGGATCATGCTGATATTATCAATGCCCTCAGAGAAATGGGAAGGATAGACGACTTTGGTGGCAGTGAATCCACATCACTCGCCAGAATGGCAGACTTGGGAATTAAGATCGGCACAGCAAAAAACGAGACGCACACCAGCTACGCCAGAAGACTTGTTAATCAACATAGAACTGGTACTATTAGCCATCGGACGTTGGGGTTCATACTGAGGGGAGGATCTGAGCACCTATGGACATGTCCGGAGTGCAATGAGGATAACTAACTAACTTCCTGATCTTATCTCTTATGGTCACTCCTACAGCCCTTCTCAGACTTCTCATTTCCATGGTTACTAATTTTCTTTTATGGTTTGTTGTGAGTGACCATGTCTGGCACTGGTAGCACAGAGTTTGAATAAATATGCTTTGAATAAGATGTCTCTTTGTGCTGATTGGGATTGTCTTATGCTGTAAGAGGGGGGCTAGCTGTCCCAATACTTACAGAACTTCAGTTTTGTTTTATTTGTGTGCAGACAGTTGGTTCATTTTCTCTCAGGCAGATGAACTCTAAACTAAAAGAAAACACTCCTTATTTGTCACCTTTTACAGCATGCTTATTAGAAGGCAGTTGGTGTATCCCCTCTTAACGGTGTATGTATATTGTCTCTTCACTTGTTTCTTGCCTGCTTGTATATTATCTCTTCACTTGTTTACGGCTTGCCTGAATAATATCTCTTCACTTGTTTCTGGCCTGCACAAAAAGTGGAAACTGGACCAGGACCAATGTGGGGTACTCACACAGTTCGAAGTAACATCACTTAACTAGGGACAATAAGCCACACCACCTGCACAAGAAACCATTTAAGTCATAGAACTTGGCACAAATAGTTGAGTCAAAAATTGACTAGCGCAGAGTTCCAATACTAACGATGCCGGTCGTAGTCTGCTTGTATGTCCATCTTGCCTTTCCTCTGAGCGTAGTATGTCCACCAAACCCTTTGGTCACACCCAGGTGCATCATTCGCTCCAGCCCATAATAATATAGTTTCTCTTCTGAGTTTGTTACTTGTTCACAAAGGGCTCTGACCACATCTGCCTTGTCATGTATCAATTCAACGCTCAGCGTTGCAGATCCAGCCAATCTGTCTGCCTGTGGCACAAATTAAACCAACCCACAATTATAATCAAAGCTTTTTCAGCAGGGTTGAGCATGGTCAAATTCTTTTCTTATCAAACAAGAGAGAGTTGAGTACAGCCAGTAAAGTAACTTACAGGATCAATAGTTGACAGCAGGTTGAAAGAAAGATCTATCCATCCAATTCTGCCGATATGATCAAACAATGACATGGCCAGGGGCTTCAGATTGTTAATATCTGTGAACTTGTTATTGTTAAGGCGCAAGCAACGACTAATATATTTTTTCTCTCCATTCTCGTGGGTTACTGTTGTTTTGATTGGATGCGGTCTGCGGGGAGATATATCTCGTGGCTCTTGTGTTTCACATTCTGTTAAATAAATACAAGACATCATTTGTGGTTACTCTACAAGTAAATTATGTAATATAACAAGCTATTCATGAAAAGATATAAAAGGTAAAAAAGTAAATGATCCTTTTTATGTGTTGTGCATATAGTGCTAGATCCATATTTTATAGCAAAGGTTGGACTAAGTTGTCACTCTTCTCAAGTCCTAGTTCTAACCACTGTTTTACAGACAAACTGGTCATGTGGTCAAGATAATGCTAGCTGGAAACTCAAGATTTTTTTTAAAAATCAGCCTTGATGTGGTACTGAATCCAAGACCTTCAGGTAATCGCAGTTCAACTTCACAGCATCCCTGTGTTGGTTCCGGGGCCCTGTTATAGGGAAAACAAGAATAGACCCACTGCCTAAACAAAAGCATGTCATAAGAGTCGACTAATTGAGAGCTTCCTTTAAAGTCGGAGTGCATCTGCCTGAGAGGCGAGGAATCAACAGTCTGCTTACAAATTAGATAGATCTGTCAAACGGATGCACATTCAAGTTCTGGAACAGGACTGCAGTCCAGAAGTGGATGAACAACTAGAACTGTCCACCAGAGTTTACAGCTGGTTAACACGAAGAAGAACTTCACAGCAAACGAGTTTCCCCCCCACAGATGCTCCATTCCTGTGCCAATGAAAACCACACATAATGTCCATCACTGTCCCTTGTGAAAAAAACTGACAAAGACTGCAGTCTCAGCCAAGCCAACAGCATACACATTGATTAAATTTATAAGGCAGCAGTCAGAAGTGCCAATACAAACAGTCTGATGCAGTTCATCATCGATGGAAGCAGCAGTTTCAACAGATTAATAATAGTTGCACATTCAATTTTTCTTAAATAAGAACTAAGAATACAAAAGGCAAGAGGAGCTTTCATAGCACTAGGGAATTTGTGGAGGTCAAAATAAATTTAAAAGAAATACTAAACTTAAAATGTTTATTTAATTCTTATGTCAAATCAGTACTTTTGTATGGGGCGGAAACATGGAGAACAACTAAGGCAATTACTAATAAACTACAGACATTCATTAACTGGTGCCTGAGAAGAATAGAGTGAGTTAAATGATATGATAGAATCACTAATGTAGAGCTTTGGGAGAAAACTAAGCAAGCTCCATTGGACCAAGAGGTGAAGAAAAGACGCTGTCATTGGATAGGACTCACATTGAGAACACTGGAAAACAATATAACTATAATGTCTTTGCATTGGAACTCACAGGGGGATAGGAATAAAGGGTCAAAAACACATGGAAAAGGGAGATGGAGAATGAAGTTAGAAATATGGGGAGGACATGGGGAGAGCTGCGTGCGATAGCAAAGGATAGAATGGCTTGGCGTGAGTTGGTTGAGGGCCTATGCTCCATTGGGGCTAGAAAGGCAGAAGAAGAAAATGCAATTATTCGCATCAGACACCATCAGTTCTCTGGCCACAGGCTGATCTCCATTTTCTGAATGTGCAGTTCTCAATACAAACAACATTGGGGTACAGCTGAAAAGCATTTCGAATGAAATCCACAGCTCAGTATCATCTGGAGGAAAATGCAATGGCTAACTATTGCAAAAAACACACCACGACTAAAAACAGTAAGCCCACCTATTTGCCATATGGACCAGAAGTGTTGACCTTTATGCCTACTGTATAGTGCTAACAACTGTTTGTTATTTTGTGGCTCCTGTCTACTGCTTTTATTATATACTCATCATCATCGTGTGCCCTGCTGATACATGTGGGTGTTTTTGCTACCTCACAGAATCATGGATAGATCAGGGCTCTTGTTTCACCTCATCCATATAGCCAAGCGATCCAGGTAATTTTCTCTTTGCCTAGTCGTTTTTCTTTCCCATCAGTCTTGCCAGTTGTCACCAGATTATGTTTAGTGTTCTCACATTTCTTTGCGATACTTTTTGTTTTTTTCTCCTGGCAGCTGGGTATCTATTTATTCTATTTATATATGCTTGAAAACATGGTATCCATTATTGTGGGAATTGTAAACAGATATTTTCTGCTTCCATGTTTTATAAATGAATGAATTTTTAAAATTAAAGTTAACTTTTTCAGCTTTAAGCATTGTATCACATTTGATGGGCTTGCTTTATCTCATTAATCCCATTTACTTTGTAATGTGTGACTTTTTACATTTAGTCAAAGAATGCTAAGAAGTCTGTGTCTGTGGCTCATGGTTTATAAAAAGTTTCCTTATTCCAAACACCTAGGGTTTTATGCAGCTGTAGGTGATTTCACAGCAGATCAATTAAAGTTGATTTCGTCAATAGTATGAGCATCAACCAAAGCAATGGCAAACTACCCAACATGTAAATTTGCTGGTAAATTTAGAATCAGCTAACAAATGATATGGTTGGTTTACGATGTCTTGTAACAGATATGCAACTAATCATGGTTTTTTTCGAGAAATAATTGTAGGTACTTATCACAAAGTGCCTACTACAGTAATGCTGAAAAAATTATGCCTCTGTACAGCATAATGTATTACACCACCAGGTAAAACTGGCAACTAACTATATTAAAGAAATCTAGCTTCTGCAGAGGTACAGTGTCTAAAGCTTTTTTGAAATTCATTATGTGGAAATTTGTTATACCACTTATTTTGCCTCTTAGACACTTACAAAACATCTTGGGTCTGAAAGTGATAAAATAAAAATTAAAAAAACACATTTTCCTTTGAATAAAACTTGGGAAAGCCTTCTATATTTCACCTAAAATCACACAAAAAATAGACATATAAGCAGAATCAGGGTTTTTCCTCTGATGGTATGTGTCTGTATGCAGTACCAGCACCTTTTTTTGTGTGGTGCTTCTGTAATGAGTATTGGCGCCTTAACTAGACTCTGTGGTAAGTACTGGCAACTTTCTTCTATTTTAAAAAAGCCCTGAGTAGGATAATACGCACCTTGCACATTTGTCAGACGCAGAAAGGAAAAATCAACTGGAGGTATGATGTCAGTAACATTAGGCTTCCTCTGTGGTTTTGCTTCAACTAGCTCTAAACTAAAAAACCAAACATAAATGCATAAATTAAAATTAAAACAGAACATTAAATTGTAAACTAAAATGTTTCACAGCACATATGTAACAACTGGGTAGCAATTCTATTGCTTGGGAAACACAGAGACATTATTATACACATTGTCAAGGCAACAGCAGCTCTTAAAAACCATAACAAAATAAGAAACTAAATTATTTTGCTTTGAAACCAAATTTTCAGCTCTAATGTTAGTTTAGTTTTAACATATGCGAAAGTTAAAGAACCATTGAAGACACGGAATGAAGTTAAAATGCATTTGAAAACAAATGCCTAAGGAAAGTGAAGAACATTGGATGGGATCAATTTCAGAAAGGCCAGTGGTTCTCAACCTTCCTAATACTGTGACCCTTTAATACAGTTCCTCATGTAGTGGGGACCCCTAAACACACAATTATTTACATTGATACTTCAAAACTTCAGTGAATATGTGTTTTCCTATGGTCTTTGGCGACTCCTGTGAAACGGTGGTTTGCCCCATAAATTGGTCACGAACCACAGGTTGAGAACCGCTGAGAAAGGAGAAGAATTCAGAAAAATATCTGGACAACCACTGACATCAAGTTATATGACATTAGTAACTAATTTATCATGCCCGTCTACTTCCATCAATGACAAACTAAATTTCTGGTGGTGATTGTTGGCTTTGGCACCTCTAGCAACTGAAATGCGCATTTACTGAGTGCACATATTTCTGGATTGTTCCGGGACTAGTTGTTTGTTCACCAGTTTTTCAAATGCCACAGTGAGAGAAGTTTCGTTTGATTTGCACTGGCACAGGAATGAGGCAAGTATGGGAAAACTCGACTGCGTTGATGTTGAAACTTCGACTAAGACAATTATATGACAAAGAAGACTGTGATATATCGGGCACCTTCTAAGTACAAGCAAACAGATAATCACCAAACACACACTTAAATGTAAAACAAATAGACTTGGGAAAATAAGAAAGTTTAAAAGAAACCCTAAGATGAATGCTGGTGAGAGAGGCCAAGGCTGATGGACTTGATTCCTTCCCTGATATTGAAACAATTTCACAAGACAGAATAGAATGTAGGAATAAACTGAGCTCTACGTGATGTATTATGGCACAGCAGGATGATTATGATTTAACAATGATGGAGTTCACAAGTGACATTCAGCATAAACTCAGATGGACGAACATTCAGAACTTTCTGCGGGAGCTTACAGAGAGACAGCGCAAAGATGAAGTTAAAAGTCATGGTTGCTTATATGTGCTTGAAGTGGTTCTGGTTTATTTCTCAGTAGTATAATTAATCGGGTGCCTTCTCCCCAATAAGAGTTGGCTTCAATGGCTCTTTGTCATGCTTGTACACTCCAAACATCTCTCATGTTTGCTATGTACCCACTTTTATGACTATCAATTGCTCCCCTCTCTTCACTCATCTCTTATTTGTTTCTTTCAAGAATGCACAAAATTTGTATTATTATTATTAATTTTTGTAACTAATGTGCATCGAAAAAGATAAAACAGTAAATGAGACTTGTCAAATGTGTATTATTCTCAATGATGCTGTATAGTGCAGAAAAATGAGACACCCCACACATAGTTTTTTTTAAAGTGTTACGCTTTTTAATGTAGCTCAAATATTTAATTCATCGCTTATGTATTTCAAGAAAGTAACAAAAATTAACATTTTCCCATGTATATATAGACAGACAATGCACAATCTACAAATGAGACTTGTCAAATAAATGTTATGTACCCAGTCAGAGAGAATCTGCCTTTAGAGGAAACACCTCTAATTAGTCACTTCTTACATCTTTGTCAGTAGGACAGTGGTTCTATTACTGAATATGCTGGCGGCATAGAAAGACAACTCTTTTAAAAACATAATGGAACCAACAAACTTTATTTTCAAAGGGTCACATATTAGGCATGCAGGCCCGTCTTACAATCGGCCCTTCCAAGCGCCCATCTTTCACACAGCAGTTGTAGTTTATCAATAAAGCATGTTATGTTCATGTAATAATATGCATATTATGAATATCAAGTCAAAAAACGAAATCATGAATGGTAAAATGCATGTGCACGCTCGCACACACACACACCCACATACACACGCAAACACATTCACTTACATACACCCAATACACACACATATACACACACATCCACATACATACACACACATGTGTACATACATACATACTCATACACACAGACACACTCTCACAAACACACACTCTAAGACACACACAAACAACCTACACACATACAAACACACACATACACAGAGGCAGGCACACAAAAAGACACCTACAAACACACACACAGAAGTACACAAACAATAAACCCCTACAGGTAGGCAAACACACAGACACATGCAGGCAGAGACACACGCAACACTTAGACATTCACACAGACACACAAACGGAGACATGCACACCGAGACATCAAATAGACACACCCATGGAGACACACAAGATACACACATACAGGCACAGATACACATGCAGTCACACACACACAAAAACATTTATGACACACACACATGCAGACACACACACTGACATACATAGACACACACAGACACACACACACTCACTGACAAACACAAACAAACACACAGAGAGACACACAGCACTCACACAGACATGCACACTGTCACATATGCAGACACACACGCAGACACTATCAAAAAGACACACAAATACACATGAAGCCACATACGCAGAGACACACACACACATACAAAAAACCACACATGCGCATCCACAGACACAAACACAGACAGACACACACATATACACATAAAAAACTCATAGATACAGACACACAGAGTGACGCACACAAAGACAGGCACATAGAACGTACGCGGATACCATACAGACTCACACACAGATACACGCCCACACAGAGAATACACATACACACACACACACCCATTTATACGTACACAGAATCATACATACAAAAACATGCCTACACATGCATATATGTCACATATTTATGCATACATATATTAATTATTACATATCATACACAATTTATTTAATTATAAACTGGTAATGCAATAATAATATGGATTATTAACTACACTTAAGGTGGCATATAATCACTGGTAATCACGAAATGAAAGAGTTTACATTTAAATGAGTAGGGACTCTTTATAGTTTTCAGATCCAGTGGAAGATAGTTCCTTAAATGAGCAGCAGAATATGCTAAACTCATTTTAAGTTAATTAAATAAATTCTAGTTTTAGGCAAATGTAATAAACTTAGTCGGCTGCTATTCGTGGGATTCAACTGAATCAACCAGAAAAAAATTATTTGGAGTTTTTTTTTAGATAGGATTTTGTAAATGAATTTGGCTTTGTTAAAAATTAAAGGTTTACTAAATGGCAGAAGTCTTAGATGTCCGTGTAAAGAGATTTTTCTAGATGTAGTCGGGTCGCAGTCCGATCTTGGAAATCCGGACAGTCACATCGATCTCAGTCCGACCTTGGAAGTCCGGACAGTCATCTCAATCTTCTCTTCTGCAGTCTGAACAAGGTAGTATAAGTATACCGGCTTCCTGCCGAGCGCAATATATAATATACCAGCTTTTCGCTGAGGTTTCTAGTGGAGTCCCGGGGTAGAGCGTCCTCAAGGATCCAACTTTATACAACGACTGCTTTCAGTGGCATCCAGGGGTATAACGCCCTCAAGGATCCCAGTTTCTATCGGAGACTGGGAGTAAGGCCCTATTTTGTAGAGAACTCTGCCGTTTGACATTAGATTTGGAGCAGCCATCCCAAACTGTGAAAAATAGTCAATATGAATATGCATTTGGATGTAGGATACGTAAAATATATTACGTATATTTTAGGCCAGAAAGTGATGAATTTTTCCACGTTTTTAAACTTTTTGAGCTAGTGAGGCTAGTCACGTCAGCTACTTTAACTTTTTTGGGTTATGACGAACATGAGAACTAATGCCACTAATGGAGGGAAATGTGAAGGTAATTAGAAGAGTGATTAATACCGCATCTTATAAAATTTGAAGAAATAAAATCTGTTAAAAGCCCTGCCTATAGCAATAATAAAGTACTGGTTACGTATTAAGTGTGTCAACTCTGCAAGATAAAATATGGAAGGAAACCAACCTTGTTGAAGTCGCCATCTTGGTTACTGTTGACAACAAAACACTTTCTGCGGCGACCAGCCAGTAGCGCTTCCGGCAGATGTGAATCAATATCATGCTGTCTGCTGTCGCCTCTGAACCTTTCAACCTTTTATTTCATCTTTTTAATTATTATTGTTATTATTTATATCTAGTAGTTTTATACAATTTTCGCTTATAATGAAAGGTTTAATTAATGAGTGCATAACACGTTCCCTGATTTTGTTAACGCCACCTCTGTTTTTGTGTACGGTCACGGTAAGTGGTTACTTCAACTTTTTGTTTTTGTTTCTGTGTTTGCCCTTGGTTATGACACCAAAATAATTCATTAATTGCCTAGACAGCAAAGCTAGTGGAATAGAGTTAACGAAGAACAATAATGGAACATCACTTGAGTGGTTAGGAGTGACAAGAGAGTTTGAAAAAGAAAAGTTATTTATTTTGGCCAGTTTTAAAAACTTGAAAACAAGGATTATATTATATAAGAGCAGCACTCCGGGATATTTTAAGCCCTTCATCGTAGCTCTACAAACATCAAACAACTGATCACCTCTTTCTTTGACGAAAAAATAACGTTCTGTGCTCTCGACAACTTAAACATTGTATAACACATGGTACTAATTGCTATATGACTGTATGCAAAATTTACTCTGGGGTATAAAACGTTAATGAAGCCACAGCTTAGCGTGAATATAAATGGGACACACGGGCGTTCATGGGTGTTGTTAGGCTGACTAGTAATGGGGCCCCTGGAAGAGAGTCAACATGAGCCACTAGGATGGAGGAGGGGAGGGGGAGAGAAAACATGAATCATTTGATATTCACGGATGACTGCAAACTCCATGAGTTGTGTGTGGAATGTGAGATCCACGTGTGGCCGACCGCTGTTGCCTAGAGTCTAGAGTGTGTTGGGAACCATGGTCAGTTGGTTTCAGCTAAGTCTAAGCATTACTGTCTACAGTACAGGACATACAGCTGATGACATGATGTCACCCACCCACCCCTAGGCCAAGGATATGTCCTGTTTTCACTCTGATAATCTTTTTTTTTCCTAGTGTGTTCCTCTCCTTCCCCTGAGTACTCCACCCAAAAGAATTATAGGAATAAGCTTGAGAATAGAACATATATAAACTAAAAGGGAAAACTAGAGAAAAACATTGTAATATTAAAAAATTATAACTATCCTCCGAATAATGGGTACAAAAGATGGCGGCCGCAAAAACACCCTAACAGAGCCTCAGTCACGTGTCAATTGCGCACTTCCTGCGACTTAATTTGCGGTTTTCCGGCGACTACCACCACCGCCGAGAGTATCCCTCACACGGCGTGGATTGGGGCTAAACTAGATGGCTGGGACTCATGAGCAGCAGCTTCTACATCTCCTGCAGCTTTGCTCAAGAGTCCTAGGCATCTATTTTAGCCCCAATCCACGCCGCTCACGCGGCATAGGGGATACTCTCGGAGGTAGCGGTAGTCGCCGAAAAACCGCAAATGGTTAGAATAAGATGGAACTTAGAGACACTGTAGAAAATAGGTTTACCTTCCATCGAGCGCCAATATTCCACCTTTGTGTGCCAATCCACCCAGCAGGATCAGCCTTGTTTCACAAAGTGAGCACCAGATGTTGCTGTTTGAGAGACACTCGCCCTTATCTTACTATCGATCTAGTTTTAAATCTATAATTTTCAAGATTCTCCTCATCACTTGAGCTCTCACTGACTGTGTCACTTCAACTGGGAACGTATTCTTCAGGAAATTCTGACTCCTCTAAGTGTGAATCAACCAAAGTTCGATCACTTGTTGGACTGTGAAAAGCCCAGACCTACTTCACTTTCCTGTCAAAATGCTTGGTTTATCAGCCGATCGTTTCATTGTGAATTTTCAGAATTTGTTCATGTTAAACCACGCAAAGTAAGTCCAAACACATGTGGGCAGACATCTGGAATGACTGTCCACGAGGTATGACAACAATTGGCTAGTTATTTTTAGTTTGTGACACATTGTTTTTATACAGTACGCAAAGTACCGACATTGAGGTACAGCGGCAGCAAATTAGGAAATTACTGCAGAAGCAGTAGAGTTCTTCTTCTTCTTCTTTCGTTCGCCTGAAATAAGTTATCTATATCAGCAGTTTTGTCTCTTGTATAAATTTCACTGTCGTTGTTAGTTCATTCAGTGGTCCATAGAGTTTACGTTCCACTGTTGTTCTTTCTGGCCAAAAGGTTTGCCTTAATGTGTCAAAATCGGTGCAGTCCTGGAGTACATGCTCTGCGGTCTGGGGCACATTTCCACAGGTGCACATGGCTGATACACCTATCTTGAATTTTGTGTACATGTGGTTACGTAATCGGTTGTGCCCTGTTCTGAGGCGGAAGATAATGACTTGTTCTGGTCTGTCCATAATAAAATAGTCGTCTTGTGCTGGGGCTGGTGGGTTTCCTGATCGATTTAATGATTCTTTTTCTTTTGGTGGTATGTGACTGGTACATCTGGCTGCTCTTTTGTCGCACCTTCCCGCTGCCAGTTGATCAGCTTTTCTCATTTCCAGGCACTCCACAATGAGACGGTATCCACTGCATTACGACTCTTCGCTGAACGCTGAGAGCTATGGGGCATTAGCACAAAAAAAATCAAACAGTTGTGTCAGCAGTGTTTGCAATTCTGGTAGTTTCCTATACTGGAGTGCTTCAAGTACTGATTTAGCATCTGTAAGCATTACCACATACTGTGAGCCAAGGTTGGTATTTAGCAGTTTCTCTGTAGCTATCTTAATAGCCTGGGTTTTAAATCTCGTAGTTATGGCAGTACTTCCCGGTTGGTACGCTGGACTTATCCCTAGTACCATCTGGGAATTCGATGTACACTCCAGCACCACCATTTCTAACTGCACTTTCTGCGGACCCATCTTTATAGACTCTGACACATTGTTCTTGTGGGTATTCTTCATCAATATAACTGAGGGTGGCCATTTTGCATTGTACACTATCTTGATCTTTCTTGTCAAATATCCCTTTCACATTTGTCTGGATTTGTACTGTTAGTTTACATTTTTCTCTCCATGGGGTTTGTTCCGGAATACTTTTAAGTGGGCAGCCAATTTCTGGAAGGTCAGGAGTTTGTCTACATATTCTTTTTGCTTGGTGTATAAAGCTGCTTCTTTTTAACCGTCCCAAGGCTAGGTTCTTAAATCTATTTTCCATCGGGTGATCTGGCATACTGAGGAACTTTTCAGCTTGTATTTGCAACTTTGTATCTCTGCGTTCTCTCAGTGCCTGTGTTTTCCCAGCTTTCTCCATTTCCTAATATGGGGGTTGATTTTCATCCCTCCTGTGATGACTCTGAGCGCTTGATTTTGCACTTTGTCTAACTCCTTTAATGTGGTACTAGATGCTGAACACCATGCAGTTTACCCATATTCCAAGTGTGGAAGTATGCTCTGCTTGTATACTTTATTGAGTATTTTCCCATCTGCTCCCCATGTGGTTCCACTTAGTTTTCTTAGTATTGCTGTCTTCCTCCTGGCTTTGGTTGCTGCCTTGTTGATATGTTTTCTCCATGTCAACCTGTCATCAAATGTGACTCCTAGGTATGTGGGCTCTTTATCATCTCTCAGAGGTATTTCGTTTATTTTGATGGTGCCGGCTTTTTGCTTTGGGGAGAGGGTGAATAGTGTGGTGCTACATTTGTCTGTGTTGATACTGACACACCATCTATTGGCCCATGCCTCAAGTGCATTTGTAGCCCGCTGTAGTGTTTTTGTGGCAGTAGAGTTAATTTTCAGGCTCAAGACCGCCTTGGCCATTATTGCCCTAAAAAGGAGTTAGACAGAGAGGCCAAGGGTTCACATGGAAATGTAACATTCATTGGTATTGTGTGAATATTTTAACACTTACTGATGTTAAGTTAATCCCTTCATTTATCAAACAACAATCAACGTTATGCTTTAATCCATCACTTCATTAATTAAATAACAATCACTGTTGTGGTTGAATCCATCACTTAATTTATCAAGCAACAATCACTGGCATAGTTTAATCCATCGCTTCATTTATTGGGCAACAATCACTGGTGTGGTTCAATCCATCACTTCATTATTTAAACAACAATCATTGTTATGGTTTAATCCATCATTCATTTATCAGGCAGCAATCACTGATGTTAAACTAATCACTTCATTTATCAAATAACAATGTGCTAACATTATTTCTTTTTTTTTAGTTTGTTTAATGTTAAATTAATCACTTCATTTATCAAATAACAATGTGCTAACATTATTTCCTTTTTCAGTTTGTCATTTTGGCATATTTTTTGAGTGGCACTGAGTTTGATACTGACAGCATTATAATGGCATTCATTAAAAGGATAGTTTTGGGTGAGTAATATGTCAGTGTAATATAATACTTATACTGTCAAATATCTTTTTATAGTATATACATATAACATAATGTTTGTGAATAAAATATTGTATTTGTAATATGATAGCTTTGTAATAAAGTATGTGTACATTATATAAGGGATGGTCAAAAAGTAATGCCTCCTGTTTTATATCTATGTAAATGCTGTATCGGCATGCAGTTTGTAAATTTAGCAGGATTATTCAAACATTCTACTGCACTGTGTAGCATTACTAACCTGTTTTACTAACAGTGGCATCACTGTAGCGGTTTAAAAATGGCTTCCACAGACAGATATGCCTACCTTTTAGCTCAATGAACACAGGATGCGCCGACACTTTATTACTCCCGTGAGCTAAACCCCTGGGACTGAAAGAGTTCACGGCTACAACAGTGTCTCACTTGTATGCTTGTTTCTTTTGGGGGAAAAAAAAGGTTCTGATATTCATCTAAGGATGTACAAATTGCATTCTCTGGTGTGTAGTGTACATATTCTATCATGGAAGAAAGGGTGCACCTATGTGTAGCTCTGTTAGCTACACTTTCAAGGACTTATAAAGTTTAAATGTGTTTAAAACACAAGAGATTTACTGTCATTGCACCTTCATTTAACCCATTAACTTGGTCATTCTCTGCAGAGCTGTTCTTTTTCTACTAAAAGTGCTGCACAAAGCACGAAAGTCCATAGCTCCAGCAACATTCCTTAGGAATCTTATAACATGTGCACTCACAAATCAAATAACTGTATCCAAAATGAACCCACAACCATCAGAGCATGATTTAAACAGCCTTTGGCAACAAATAATACCTGTTAAGGATCAGCGATACAGAATTTGACAAATTTAATGTTTAAAAAGTGATCCATTCACATCATTGTGGAATCCTAATAAAGGGAGAAAATAATAAGTGTATTTGATCACCTCAAAATAAAAACAAATGCACTTAAGAACAGTTATATACTGACTCTGCCATCATTACTTGCAGGTGTTACTTCTATAGGTGCAGTAGGTGTATCTTATGTGGTTTGGGACATAAAAAGACATCAAGTATACCCGGACCAAAGTTTCAAAGAAGCAGCTCGACACTACACTGCTGTCCGAAGTTTAACTGTCATTGGGACTGTCATGAAATACAGACTTGTCAGGGCTACCAAGAATGTGGAGAAGGTTCAGACAGACTTTCTTCTTCAGCAGATTAAAGACAACATGGATACACAGTACAGTAAAGACATGGGGGTGAATAAAATATTTTTATAGTTAATATGTACTCATTCACTCTAAAAATTTAATTTCGAAAACATTTGAATTTTATTCCGTCTTACAGATAGTGGATGTGAAGACAATAAGTGAAGCCATGGATAAAGCTAAGGGCCACGGGATAATAAGAGGAAAGTCTTGGTTGGCGCAAACATATGATACAGTTAACCTCCCTCACCTGGATCTACACACCTGGTCATGTGGGCATAATGGGAAATGAGCAAGCGGACCAACTGGCAAGCATTGCACTAAGGTATGTGGGAAGAAGCATGGACAGAGCAGATATCGTCAACACTGTACAGACAGGGCTAGTGGATAATGAGGAATCCCTGACACTAACACGATTGTGTGACATGGAAGTAAAGCATGGTGAAGCACGTCTTCGAGGCCGAGATAGGAGACAGTATAACCAGCTTCTCGTGGGAACAATTAATAAAAGTACTTTGGAGTTGCTGCTGCATCCCAGGACCAAGCACGCATGGGAATACCCAATGTGAAGTGACGTCGATTGTGATAACATAACATAATATAACATAACAGTTAAAGATGTTTATTGGGCGAAAAGAAAAGTTGATCAAAGTGCCAGAGTACAAATCAGACTTGTGTAGGGTTCTGTTTACATTAAGCAGAATGTGCAGTGATTTCTGAGTGGGCATAGCAGAATCTTAAATTCAACAACTAATTCATGACGTTTCCATCCAGCTGTTGTGATTATCTATACAGATGGCTTGGTGTTGAGAAGCAGAAGAAGTGTCTAGGGGTTCATTTCAAAAGTGAATAAACAGCACTTGATGCAACAAAGCCTTGCATATACAACATCTAGTCTGAGAATGGAGGTGGAGACAGTCAGTCACTGCAGCCTTCTGCTGACTTTAGAACCAGCTGCACACGGATGAGGTGATTGTTACAGACTCACAAAAAAAGATGGAGGCAGGCACTACCCACAGTTAGCGCCCATCACATCTTTTCTCGAAGGCTTGCAGGTGTAATGGGAAATACACTGATGACAATTTGACTGATTCTGCATGATTGTGTATTGAATCGCTGTATGGGCAGCTAGATATGGCCAGATTTCTTTGGGAGCAAGGGAACAGTCCAAAGTGCAATTAAATCATTACAATGTGGAGAAAATGGTGCAGCAGGGGGTGGCCAAAGAATCTAGCCAACAATCAATACTCAGAGGAAAGCCAAGATACACATGTAGTAACACTGCTATTGATTCCATTGAAATTGGGACTCTGAACTGGTTGTTTAATATGGGGATGGATAATCTGTGGGAATGTCCCAAGTGCTGTAGTGTCAGTTCTTAACTTAATTCAGTTAAAATCAGAAACAGTAGCTCATTCACAGTTGTAACAATTTCTCTGAGTTGAGTTGACTAAAATTAATATTCTGTTTTTTTTTTTTTTTTAAATTTGTCCTGACAGCTAGTGAATGTCAAAACACGGGATGACTTTCTGCGAATTCACAGACTTACACGTTACCCAGACTACTCTCGGTACATCCACCAGATGATCAGTGGGGAAAAGAAGGTGCTGACATCTGTGGATCCTGTGATATTTGCTGTCACATCAGGAACTTCTGGCAGCAGTAGTATCATTCCTATGGTGGGAAAACAAACCAGGATGTTTTTCTTTGAGGTAAATTAGTAATTGTTTGTGTGGGTTTATGGGCCTCATTGTTTCACTGTGGGTGGGTGAGGGGATTTGGGAAGACCCACTGCCTTCTAACAAGCATGTAATAAAAGGTGACTAACTCCCTATCTGAGTTCAGGGGCCTAATTGTTTCACTGAGGTGGGGGGGGGATGAAGAAAATACCCACTGCACCCTTACAGGCATGTAATAAAAAGTGACTAACTTCCCATGTGGGTTCAGGAGCCCCATTGGGGAGAAAACAAGAATAGACCCACTGTCTACCCAAAAAGCATGTCTTAAGAGTCAACTGATTGGACCTTCCTTTAAAGATGGAGTGCTTGTGCCTGAGAGGCGAGGGACCAACAGTCTGCATATACATGAGCCAGATCTGTAAAATTGGTGTGCATGCAACACTCAGGTTCTGAAACAGGACTAAAGTCTAGAAGTGGATGAACACTCAGAACTTTCCGATGGAGTTTACAGCTGGTGAAGAAGAAGAAGAAGAAAGGCGACTAATTAGAGTTTTCCTGAAATCAGATATGTAGGGCTAAAAAAGCAGATATTATAGCACAGCTGTAAATGCACAACACAAGGTGTCAGCTGCCTTTCAAGATCAAAAGAAGAAGAAGGCAAAGTTAATTGATTAACTCCTTTAATTCTTTAGAATGTTTCTGTACATCACTAGGGGTACAGTATTTATAATGAAAGTAAGATAAGTAGGTTAATTTTAATGATAAAACACATTCCATGCAGTTTGTTAAACTGATCTTATCCTGAGTCTTCTTTAGTATGTTCCAACCAAATTAAATAAATATAACACTCTATAGCATACAGAGATAAAGAACTGAATAGGACAGGCTCAATCTGCATTTTATAAAATGAAGAACACTTTATGCAATAAATCCATTTCACTGGAGGTTAGAAAAAGAAGAATTCTTGCAGCATATAGGGAGCCAGCTTTAACAAATAACTGCAAATCGGGCAATTAATAAAACAGGCAAACAATTTCTTGAGGCCTTCTAAATAGTGGTTTTTACAGAAGAATTCCTTGGACAACCAAAAAGAGCAACCCAGAAGTTTAGAAAAAAAAGTGAGGGCTTGAAGACAACTTATCCCAAATATCAGAAAGAGATAGTCATAATTTTTTGGGTCATGTTATGAGAAGCAGGAAACTGGAACATATTGTGGCCACAGGAAAGATCTATGGAAAAAGAGATAGAGGAAGACAGTGGGAGAGGATTCTTGACAGCCATTTGTTATGGCATGGAGGGGTGTCAGCACATGAACTGAGGCATGCTGTTAAGGATCACAGATTTTGGAGAAGCATAACCGTCATGCCAGTTGGCAAGGCACTTGATAATGATGATGGTAGCAGTGTTGGCCAGCAGTTTTTGTGTTTGAGAGTTACTTTTCCTTTCAGATGTCACTGGTGGGCAATTTTATTTTTATTGCATGTGTATGGATTGTGTTTTTTTTTTTTTTCTTTTTCACTTTTTTCATCTTTCTAGACGATAGTGACATATTTTGCTCTAGGGTGGCATGAGAATAATAGCCCATGGTGACTGTGAGTGTTACTAGCAAGACCCACTCATGTTAAGAAAAGTCTTCCTGAATTATAGCATGGGATTGCAGGACTGTTGTTGCTATCACATGTATTTGGTGTGCTTCTTAGATGCTGGACTGTCAACCTTTCTGCAGTCATTTCTTTCTCTTGATGCCTATTCCCTTCCTGATTTTCCCCCTTCATTCAACTTAGTCCATAATATTTTGTTCCCATGAATCTATCTCAATGCCTGTATCGTTCCTGTCCCGCTTGCACACATCTTTATATCATAGTAGAGGCCAACCTTGACATCTTCTACCTGCCTTCAATTCACCATAGAGGATATCCTTACGGACTCTTCCATTCCCCAAGTGTGACCCAGCTACCTGATCCTTTGGAGACATTGAAAAAAAACTTTTGTGAGACCTGCTGTCTTCAATACCTCAGTGTTTGTGATCCTGTCTGGCCACTTACTGCCAAGTAAGCCAACCTTATAGACTATGAGTGGGAATAACAATTCTCCATATAGACAGAATGACACAGATCACAGCTGGCTACCTTTCATGGGTACCAGTCAACTAGTAGACACATCGGTTCCCCCCCCCCCCCCCCCCCCCCCCCCCCCCCCCCCCCCTCCCCCCCCCCCCCCCCCCACCCTCCCCCCACCCCACCCCCCCCCCCCCCCCCCCCCTTCCCTGGCACTAAAGGTTGACTAACGCAAGCAGTAGTTGATTGCATGTATTATATTGCTTGGGACTGAAGGAATAAGTGAAATAAAAATTTGAAAAATAGTATACTGTTCAACAACAACAAAAATGCATTGTTATCCAATGGTGCTTTACTACTAAAAATAATGCATAGTTATCCAATGGTGCTTAACTTCTTTAAAAAAAATGAAACACATAACTGCTGAAATGAACCTAAGTTTGTCATAATTTTGCCATTCAAAATCTTTGTCATTCAAAATATTTGTAATTTAATGAGTGATATTGTTCGAATTGCAAATAAGAATTATGCAGAGTTCATCCAATCATTTGAAATTACTTTTGCATCTGGGTCAACAGCATTTTTTAGACATACAGACTTTTCCGCCAGCTAATAAATTGCGCCATTAAATAACTAACTATTCATTTCTATTTTAAACAGGATTGTGCCATCAGATAACTATGCACTTTTTTTAACAGTATAAAAATGTGCCCTGTGTGGGAGGCTGCTTATTACGGGTTTTGCTGAAATATGATGTTTCAGGCTGAAAGGCGCATATATCATAGCCTAGCTGTAAACCACAAGACAACATGTCAACAGCTCCTTTAAGGCAGTATGCAAAAAAGAAGAAGACTGACACTTTCATTCCCAGTCATTTTAACATTACCCCAATCTATCCTATTTTTTGCAGTTTTTTCCAACTTTATAGAAAATGTGTTTTTGTCCTTCAGGAATTTAAAATGCAGCTTTGAGAAAAGGTGGCTGTACTTACCACAAAGTATTCCTTCATTCCTTTAGAAAATAAACATTTCCTGCCATTATCTTCAGGGCATCTCTGTGCTGTACAAGTGTATGGTCGAGTCCTTCCCAGGAACAGCATTTCTGTACAAAGTCTTCAAGATATTTTATAATCCAAACTGGCGTTATTCTGTTGATGGAATACCCGTAGGACCAAACTCAGCATCTCCAGACAGGTACAGAAACCTCATTACATCATCATCCTCATCATCATATCATCATCCTCATCATCACATGTACTGTACAGATAAGCATGAGAGGTCATGGTTCACAGTCTCACATGCTTGCCTTCATCACAAATCAGATATATGTTCTTATCTAGGCCATGCCATGTGGCTAATCTATCCAGGTAAGTGTGTGTGTTGTTCAGCCCCACCAGGACATCACACTGAGCGATAAACACCCAGTGACACAAAGTACTATTATTTGGATGAGGATCAGAAATCCCATTCAACTGTTTTGTTATATTAGGGTCTCCGACTACAACCAGACTGTGGCCTTAACAAAGAACTGCGTCCCACATTGGGACTGGAGTAATTTCTTAATATCCAGGTAGTCTCTGTCAGTGTCTCCTGTAGCTCAGGTTAGAAAACTGGTTTAGCAGTCTGATTCTTTGCATACCAGGGTTTGTTTCTGCAGCAGGCAGTTGTGAAAAAGACTGTTTTTGTTGCTTTCACACAGTGGAAGAAGAGGTGCAACATGGGGCCTCACCTCAGAATATTTCCCAAGACAGCAGTCAATGATCTGCACCCGGCTTCCAGTGTAGAGACAGAAAATAAATTGTTTTTCAGTGCCTTCTCTTTAATCCTCCTCTTCTTCTCCTCCTCCTTCTTCAGCATGGATTAGGTTTGGCAGACAGGTTACGTAATTCTGAGGTGTGGTCGCAGCTGCAGGCAATTTGGCAGCAGGCCGTCTTGTGTTGGTTTTGATAGTGGTATCGAGTGCCAACCATTTAGAAACTGAACATGAAATTGCATAGTAAAATCAGAAACAGCTGGGGTTGGTTCTGCAACGTCCTGTAGAGGATATGTAACTAATTCTAATTTTACTTTCTAATATTTTCAAAATGGAAAAATGTATTGCAGTTCAACTTACCCTTCTTCTCTTTGACCTCTTGGACTCACATCAAACCTTATCGTTTGATCTCATACAGCTCACTCCAAGTGCTTCCTTTCTTGTTCACTTTTTTCGCAGTATTCTTCCCCATTTTATTTTTTAAGGCCTCCCTTGTTTTCTTAAAGAGTTGCGATAACAAAGAGGCTAGGCGCTTGTCTGCCACTTGAAAGTCTTGGATTTTAATTTTCATTAAATCTTATTTTTTTCTTCAAAATTGACCTTAACTTCCAAATCTACCAGCCTTAAATGGATACTAGCTAATGTCCCAGGAAGTAAAAAAAACAGCCGGCATGATGTTGAACACAACATCCTTCCAGTACAGATTAGTCTATAAAAATATGAGTCTGGCATAATATACCCAGTGCACCATTGGCGTGAGAAAGGCCCTTTATTTTGGTTAATGCCGTTCAACATGTTTTTCAGTACTTTTTTATGATGAGGAAGATTTATGACATGTTTAATAATTTTTGACCTACGAGGATTTGATTTTGGTGGTGGCCAACTATTTCAATCCTAGATGGTTTCAAAATAGAAACCCAGTTTGGCACAATAATCTTAGTGAGAAGGGCATCGGTATATGACTTTCAAGGATACACCATATTCTGCGTGGCATATAAAATATTTGGCCAGATATCTTTTGGATTTCCAGACCAAGAATCCAATAAATAATAACACACCATGTTGATCATTGATACTAAGTCCATGCTTTGTGGCACTGGTAGTCTTGTCTATCCACAGCCTTCTGTCTCATGTACTCTCAGCCAACTCTGACACAGATTATCTGGTACTTTATTATTAGCCAACCACAAACACGCTAAAGCGCAGAAAACACGGAAAACCCGCTCTTACCACCCTCTAAAATATTGGACTGTCCCGTGACATCATTTGTGATTGGCTAAAAAGAAAGCACTGATGATCCTCCATGCCATGATGTCAAACGTTTAGCATCTTTTCTCTCGGTCTCCCGCTGCCTCTCCTCCCCTCCAACTTTCCCACTGTCACAATGAACTCCAGTTTTCTCCTTCTCATCACATGACCAAAGAATGTAGACTGTCTCTTTCTGATGTGGGCAATCAGTTCTCTTCATGCGTCAGTCTCTTTTGAGATTTCTTCATTACTATTTTTATCTGTCCAGGGTATTCTTTCATTTGTCTATAAAACCACATCTCAACAGCTTCCAAATAATTTTTCACTAGTCTATTAACTGTCCATGTTTTATCCTCCTCCTCTTCTCCTCCTCCTCCTTCTTCAGCATCTGTGGTTTAGGTGTTGCGAACAAGTTACATAATTGTCTATGTCTGTCATTGATACAAGTAGACATAAACTGAATGCACATAGTGTGTTGCTTGGGAGAGAAAGAGTGAAAAATTACCGTTTCCGTAGTTTTCAATTGTTCATAGTCGCACACTGAGAAAGAGATTTGGATCCCTTCTTCTTTTCTCCACTCCTGGAATACCATTGCAGCATCAGGGCAGAAAGAGATCTCTGGAACAGACCCTTCTGTTTGCTTCGTTTAAAGTACTTTTTAGTGTCTCTGATATCTCTGCGGTCCATATTCTGCAGGGTTGACCTCTTGCTCTGTGACCACTGTAATATTTGTGACAAGTTTAAATGCTCAAATACTTTCCTGTCAACCTGTTGACATTGCTTTTTTAATTATTTTTTCCCCAACAGATCTAAAGAATTTCTTCATGTTTACACGACACCTCCTGCAGCTTATGAAGTCCGGACTGAACCAGAAGCACTCTATATTTATTTACTGTTTGCTTTATTGGATCCTCATGTTGGCATGATTGAAGCCAACTTTTCATCCATTGTATTTAATGCTCTCTGCACCTTGGAGCAAAAGCTGCCACAGCTAATCAAGGACATTGAGAAGGGTCACATAGATCCTGACTTAAACATTGACCCATCTGTTAGACAGGAGTTGAACAAGCTGCTGTTACCTAATCCACAACGAGCCCAGGAAATTAGAGAGGCTGCCAGGATGGGCAAAGAAGGCCTAGCTCTCAGAATCTGGCCACAGCTTCATTTAGCTGTTGGGGCCGATACTGGTACATTTGATTTATACGCCCAGAAGCTGAGAAGTGGTTATTTGAAAGGTTAGATATGCATAGTTTAGCTTGAGTACATAATGTTCTCAGGCCTTTTTTTCCTGAAAAATAGTTGAGTATTTCGGGATAATTTTTTAATATTTTTTTTACTCCTCATGTGGATACATTAGGTGCACCCAAGTGCTTCCATAGTAGGTAGTTTTATTTCAAACTTTCCTGGAGTCATAAGTTATTGTCCATAAATGACACACATTTTATTCATTACTTTTCTTAAATTCACTGCTTTTCATAGAAAGAGAGTATCAATGCTATGAAAAGCACTAGTTATGTTCTGGGTCATGTAAAAATGCCCTAAAGAATTAAAATTCTAATAAAATGTCATGTCCAACTGCAAACTTTAGATAGATAACAGCTAGCTGCTTCTTGTGCTGCTTTGTGTTGTTTCAGAATGGTTATAAGATGAAATGTTTATGAATAAAGTTCCAACATGATCACTGTCACGCGTGCGCAGGGTGGGAGGAGGCAGGTCCTAAGTTGCAATCACATGCTTGCAGCACGTAAACTAAGAACTACTAGCACACCTGCTTGCCACTGAAGAATTCTTTTACCAAGTGAAGAAAACTAACAAACATAACAGTGCAAGCCACAAGTGTGTAACTTGCCATACCTGCCAACTCATCATCATCATGTAGCAGAACGTCGTCCTCATCACGGTCAGCCTGAAAGAAACTGGGTCTCTCGCCAGCTCTCCCGCCTCATGTACTTTCATACTGAAGGAGTCACTTATATCTTTTGCCCATCTTCGTGTTGGTCGGCCCCTGCCCCTCCTTCCTGGTACTAGGCCTTCTGCTATTATTTTTTTCCAATCCGTCGTGGCGCTTGATATGACCAAAGTATTTCAGTTTCTGAGAAAGGATGCTGTTTATCAGCCAGTCTTATTATTATATATTAGCCAATGTTAAGATCTTTCAAGATGTCATTATTTCTCCCCCTATTTGTCCGAGATATTCTGAGAATCTTTCTAAAGCATTTCAGCCAACTACCACCCCTGAAATGTCAAGGACAAATTTATCCATCATACACATCAAGATAGCACTTAGACTCAACAGATATGGTCATCGTATGCACAAAAGGGGTAAAAATCATGCGAATTTGTTTACTATAGTCAGCTAATGCTGTATTTGGACAGTGACAGAAAAATTGCAGCTGAAATTGCAGGGGGTGACTGAAATGTAACACCCCATTTCAAAATACTTCGATTTTATTCATTAACTATAGTTTTCAGAAGAAATTGATATGGGAGAAAAGCGTTTAGCATGAGGTTCTTTTTAAAATTTTATATGAGCACCATATTTCACTACCAGCTTTTCTAGCCGCTCAGGAATCATGTCAGTTGATTTCACCAGGAATTCTTGTTGAATGGAAAACATCTTCTCATATTCGCTCTTCACATTCTTCTAAAACATAATATTCAACTTTAAATACAGATTAAATTTACAGTTTACATTCTCATACATTAAAGATCAGAGACACACACATTTGAGGCACAACATACTATACAAAAAAAAAATGTTTTAAAAATTTTAAAATAAGCAGGTTTTTCCCCAATCGTCCTGTAGATTCTTGAAAAATGAGCGTTGAACTTATAGAAAATAGAACACATTGAAAATGATGAGGTCTGACAGAAAGTATGATAGCAGCAATGCTATATTTCGTTATCAAACAACAAGTGAGATAGTTTGACCGTATAATTTCACTGTCAACAGACAGTATACCACCAGAAGCAGTGTCAGTAAACAAATAAGCCACATCTCTCTAACGGATGTGCTTGCAAAATTTAAGTTCTGGAACAAGACAAGACCAGTAGCGGATGAACAACCAGAACTTTCCACCAGAGTTAACAACCAGTGAAAGCTGAGAAGAAGAAGAAGACTACAAGCAATAATGTGCAGACTAAGTGGGAATCCAAAAATAGAAAGAGAGAAAAGCAAATTCCCCGGGAATCCCCTTATGCAAAGCACACAAATGGGCACTCTCTTGCAGTTTTTACATCACCTGAACACCGCAGAGTGTAAGAGGACCAGGATGAGATGAACTAATGCTCAGTAAACAGAAAAAAAATATCAAGTGGTTCCTGTGCAGAATAGATGGAATAAAATGGTAGGATAGAGTCACTGATGTAGAGCTTTGGGAGCGAAGTAAATAAATTTCAGTGTATTAAGAGATGAAGAAAAGATGCTGGTGTTGCATAGAACACACTTGAGAAACCCTGAGAATGGTACAGTTAGATGGGCTTTACAGTGGAACCCACAGGGACATAGAAATAAAGGCAGAACCAAACACACACAGAGAACATAGAGAATGGAACTAGAGAGTAAAGAAAAAAAAGATGGGAAGGACGTGGGACAATCTGCATGTTCCATTGTTGAATAAAGGGTACAAGAAGAAAAAAAATAATTGGATAAACAGCAGACACTTATACCCAGACCATATCTTTCTGCGCCATGTGCAACTGCATAAATTTTACCATTATATTTCCTTCCCTTGAGTTGATCAGGTGTCCCGTTGTACTCGCCAATCTATGCAGCATCAGAAGGCTTGCTGGGGATCAACATTTGGCCTGACCAGCTCCCCACTCGCTACTTGCTTCATCCACGAACACAGTTCTTCGAGTTTATCCCTGATGATGTAATGGACCAGGAACAGCCTGCAACTCTTTTAATGCACCAGGTACTTCTGTGATAAGTTTAATGTTGAATGTTGGTTTAGGAATCGACATCACAACACTCGGGACACCCCCATAATCGCTCCATCCCCATTTTTAGCAGCAAGCAAAGAGTTAAATATCCGATGGTACCAGTAAATGTCTGATTGTATATCTGTCTTGACTTAACCCTGAGTGTCGAGCGTTGGCCAGATCTCTTTATAACTCCTCGCAGTGCCATTCTCCTCAGAACATAATGATCTATCTGTGCCTCAGCACTGTTTACTTGCTTCCAAAGGGCCCTCACAACATCAGCTTGTCATACATCAGTTCACCACCAAGTGGTGCAGAACCAGCCAGTCTATATGCATGCTCATTTCCCAACACACCGGCATTACCTGGAGAAAATATCCAAAGGATGCTAACTACCCAGGACCCTTGAAGTGATGATATGTTTAACCCTTTCGCTGCTACGTTCCCGGAAATAGTTGTCCTCCCTGTGCTAAGCAATGTGAAAAAAAAAGTCTCTGCTGTGCGCAATACTTTTCTATCCTCCAAACGCAAGAGATGCGTCGGCGGTGAGGGCTATATTTTGTACACCCAAAAAAATTGGTTGGTCCGAGTGGTGACAAGTCAGAGGCACGATGGTGGCCCACAAACTTGACTAACAGAGCTATCATCCTTCTGGGGAGGGGGGGGGGGGTGTGTGTTAATGGGAAGAACTGTTCCCTGTCCGTATCCCAAAATTTGATTGACGAACCTACCACAGCTGCCACTTTAATCATAGTTATTTGTAGTCACCATGTTATTAAATACCAAAATAATTTTAAAAAATTTAATAATAATACTTGAGTCGTCCGTTGATAAAAAGTAGCAGGAACTGAAAGGAAAATTTACAATAATTAAAAAAAAAAAAAAATAAAAACACGACTTCGGGGGTTGAACACACGACCCTCTGATTCTAAGGCGAACGTGATACCAACTACACTATACTACCGATTGACGTATTTTGCTGTGTGAATGATAATAATGACTGATGTACGCAGACTATCAAAAACGTGCCTAAGTTTGTAGTCTATCGCCGCCTGCATGAGCACTGTTGTCTGAGAAATGTTTGAGATTCTCAACAATAGTAAAAATATGTCCGTCGACATTATTTCACGGGAGTTTTTAGCAAACAGTCTTTGCTCAAGTACTCTATTTTGAGGTTCTTTGTTCTAAGCATTAGCAGACAGACAGCAAAAAAAAAAAAAAAAAAGTTCGTCCGAATCTGTGTCTGTCCATCGGGAAAGACGAGAATTTTTAGTGACTGAACTGTTTGAATTTTCAGTAGCAGAAATACAGTTAGAGCTGGAGTCATCAAAATTATGCACTACTGATTTCAAATCAACTGTTCATAAAGACAACTGATCAATTTATTGCCGTTTTGATGGTGCTTCATTGTCGCTGCTCTCTGATTCCGACAATGAGGACGTCGGACAGGCAAACAGCTTTTTTTTGGACACGACGGTTTCAGCAGTCGATATTGATGGCCTAGTCAAATCTTTTTGTTCACTGTCAGAAGTAAACATTTCAAAGTCATCTTCGCTATCACTTCTTGACAGAAACTCCATAAATTCTTCATCAACTTTAACAAGTTTTCTTGCCATTTTGTACTAAGTGTAGAATAATACAAAAGCACAAATATATATCAGGGCACAAAATACACAGATCACCGACCACGCTGTCACGGTAAACAAAGCAACGGGATAACGCAGAATGCAGTAAACACACCTTAAACACACCTAAAAGTACGTGCCAGTGCTTTTAATCATATGTAAATGGGTCAGTTTAATCTAAATATAGTTAATGCATATTGCCCTTCAGCCAATAAAATACGAGGTAACAGAAATCTGTAAGAAAAGTCCAAAAACGGCTTAGGACGTCCATAGCACTGGGGGTCAAGAAAAAAAATTACGTCCAAAGACGGGCGTAGCAGCGTACGGAAAAAGACGTCCATAGCAGCCAAAGGGTTAAACTAGGTTTAAAGTCAAGAGAATCCACTAAATTTTTCTGGATTTGTCCCAGATATTTGGCTTGGTCATCTCTGTATATCTGCTAGCTGCCTGCTGAGAGCGTCATAAAGCATGAACTCTATAGCTCCAGTGAGGGTCCCAAGGGGATTCCATAATCATGAACTGAACCATGCAGTCCTAGTGACGCACCCGTGACTTTTCAAGCAAGAGGCCAACTGCCTAACTGCTAAGCCACTGACATGGTTGCAATATATGTGACATGTTGTATTGCAAAGAGTGTGAGAGTTGCAGTATATGTGACATGTTGTATTGCATAGAGTGTGAGAGTTGCAGTATATGTGACATGTTGTATTGCATAGAGTGTGAAAGTTGCAATATATGTGACATGTTGTATTGCATAGAGTGTGAGAGTTGCAGTATATGTGACATGTTGTATTGTATAGAGTGTGAGAGTTGCAATATATGTGACATGTTGTATTTTGCATAGAGTGTGAGAGTTGCAAAATATGTGACATGTTGTATTGCATAGAGTGTGAGAGTTGCAGTATATGTGACATGTTGTATTGCATAGAGTGTGAGAGTTGCAGTATATGTGACATGTTGTATTGCATAGAGTGTGAGAGTTGCAATATATGTGACATGTTGTATTGCATAGAGTGTGAGAGTTGCAAAATATGTGACATGTTGTATTGCATAGAGTGTGAGAGTTGCACTATATGTGACATGTTGTATCGCATAGAGTGTGAGAGTTGCAATATATGTGACATGTTGTATTGCATAGAGTGTGAGAGTTGCAATATATGTGACATGCTGTATTGCATAGAGTGTGAGAGTTGCAATATATGTGACATGTTATAGCATAAAAAGTGAGATTGACAATATATGATGTTTTATAGCATAAAGTGTAAGAATTGCAATATTTGTGACATGTTTTATAGCATAAAATGTAAGAATTGTAATATTTGTGACATTTTTATAGCATAAAGCATGAGAGTATCAATGTTTGTGACATGTTTTTCAATATAAAGCGTGAGAGTTGCAATATTTGTGACACTTTCCAACATACAGAGTGAGCATAGCATTATTTATGACATGTGATCCAAAACAAAGAGTGAGAGTTGCAGTATTTGAATCATGTGTTCCAACCTAAAGAGTAAGAGTTGTGATATCTGTACCATGTATTCCAACTTAAAGAATGAAAGTTGCAATATTTGTGACATGCATTCAAACATAAACAGCTGCAAAATTGGTGACGTTTTCCAGAATAAAGAGCGGGAGTTAAATTATTTGTTACATTTTGTCGAAGCTCCTACTTAAAGTTTTAATAACTCTCTCTCTCTCTCTCTCTATCTATCTCTCTCTCTCTCTCTCTCTCTCTCTCTCTCTCTCTCTCTCTCTCTCTCTCTCTCTCTCTCTCTCTCTCTCTCTCTCTCTCTCTCTCTCTCTCTCTCTCTCTCTCTCTCTCTCTCTCTAAGTATTATTATAATTCTCAGCTTCTGAAGGCTTGGTAATAATTTGAACTAAAGTATTTTACAGTTAATTTGGTTTGAATGTTTGGAGCAATTAATGCCTTCTGTATGTATATTGGAGCAATAAGTAGGTTTTATTGATGATGTATGTTATGATATATTGTAGTCCATCTCTTTCTTCTAACTTTACTATCTTTTTTATTTAATGTCCTAATTGTTACCCGCAAATAAATTAAATTTAAAAACATGTCCTCCTTTAAAAAAAAATGAAGGTATGTTTCTGGATTTATGGATTTATATAAAATAACTGTATGTCCACCTTAAAAAACAAATAAAGGTATGACGTTTCAGAATTTTATGGAATTTTTTAAAACAACAGTATGTCCGCCTTTAAAAAAAAAATTAAGGTATATGATGAATCTGGATTTTATGGATTTATTTAAAATAACAGTATGTCCGCCTTTAAAAAAAACCGAAGGTATGATGTTTCTGGATTTTATGGATTTATTTAAAACAAAAGTATCCGCCTTTTTAAAAAAAACGAAGGTATATGATGTTTCTGGATTTTATGGATTTACCGAAAATGACAAGTGGAATGTAAATGTATTTGCAGGTCCAGAAGGGAAGCATCTACGAGCTGGTGATCACAAATCCCAGTTGTCTGTACAGGTACAGATTTGGAGATGTGGTCAAGGTGGTGGGACATTACAATCAGTGTCCAGTTGTGGAGTTCATGTACAGGTGAGAGCAGTGACTGGTTTCATCTGTGTTATCACAATCACTATCACGTTCAGTGTCAATAAACCTAGCCTGTTGTGTTTTGACATCATATGTGATCACCAGAACCATAGATCAGATCAGTGTTCCTGTCTGGTCTCATGCATAGGGCTAAGTCATTCAGGTATTTAGCTCTTTGCTTCCCCTTGCTGCACAAATGAAATGCATTCCATAGGGAAAACACAGCTCACAGGCTGCAACCTTGTCGTTTTGTTCAATTTGAGCTGGTGAAATACCTTATGTAAGAATTCTACCTGTGGATAGAAACCAACTTATCGTGCCTGAATACTTCCATTAACGACAAACAGCATTTCTGTTGGCGATTGTTGGCTTTGGCGCTTCAAGCAACTGAAATACGCATTCACTGCGTGTGCATATATTTCTGGATTGTTCTGGAACTTGTTTATTCACTGCTTCTTGAGTCCACCATAGAGGCTGCACGAAAGCAGAGGTGGTAGTCCTGCTGCATACCTACTGTTGAAGGCATCCAAGAAGGGTACTGGCCCTCTCATACTGAAAAGTCTTGCACATATTCACCGCCCTGACCTTGCTAGTTTTAGAAATCAAGACTGAGCATGGCATATTGTCACAACCCTGATCGCCTTGTATATAAGAGAGTCTCGAAATAAGATTACAGTACTTGTTTTCTGATGTATAATGAGAGTGATTTATTACATAAGATACTTTTCATCTACTGAAATGCTGCCTTTGCCTGGTCAATTCTGCTCTCTCTCTCTCTCTCTCCTCTCCCCTCCCTCTAAATGTGTATATATATATATATATATATATATATATATATATATATATATATATATATATATATATATATATATATATATATATATATATATATATATATGTGTGTGTGTGTGTGTGTGTGTATTATATATATATATATATGTGTGTGTGTGTTATATATATATATATATGTGTGTGTGTGTTATATATATATATATATATATATATATATATATGTGTGTGTGTGTGTGTGTGTGTGTGATGAAGAAGTATTGGTTTGCTAAATGCTTTAATTATTGAGGAGAGCAACCTATAATGTCTACCAATCTATATGTTTCCTCCAGGAAGGGTCAGATTCTGAATGTGCGGGGAGAGAAGATATCAGAAGCGGTCTTCTACAGTGCGCTCAGGGACACTGTGTCTGACATAGATCTCAAGTTTGTGGATTACTGTTGTATGGAAAGTGTACTTCTTGATGGCATGGATGTATCTAAAGGTTGGTTTGCTTTATATTTATCCAATGCTGTTAGCGTCCTTTCTTATCTCTTTTATCCCAGGAACATAAAACTTTAACTCGCTGATTCCTAAGTATTCATTCTTCTTATTCTGTCTTTTATCACCCATTGAAGCATACACCCTGAGCCAAGTCACACACGATCATCCTATCCTTCGCTTTTGTGTGCAGCTCACCACATATCCTATCTTGTCTTTTTAACTTTATTCTCTAGCTCCCTTCTCAGTGTGTTTTGTTGTTGTTGTCTGCCTTTATTTATATGTCCCTGTAGTTTCAGTGTAAAGTCACTGGCTTTAATGGAATGGAGGAACAGACTGTGAGCCCTGTGTGACATATAATGGCACAACAAGACAATGGTGATCTTTGTATCTATCTTCTTTTACCCCACCAGGACATCACACAAGGGATAAACACCAGATGACACAAAGTGCCACCATGGGGATGAAGATTACCCGTGGAAAGGTCCCAGAGACCGTGTTCAGCCGTTAGACCATATTTATGGCCAGGCTATATTGCAGCCCCAGGCAAGAGCCAGAGTAGGGCTTAAAATAATGAAAAATTGCATCCCACAAAAGGATGACAAGATTTTTTATAGACAATGATGATAAGGATTTGGATCAGAACATTCACTTGCATTTGTGCGCATCTCTGGTCACTTGTTTTGTTCTATTTAGCACTATGAAAAACATGACTACTGGCAAACAGTATATGGTGAAACTGATGGCCAAGTGCTAGAATGATGTTTTGTTCATGAAATGTTAATGTTTGTCAATTCCAGATCTGAAGTCACCTCAGCCATGTTACCATGTGTTTGTGGAGTTTGAGGATGAGGACAGCAAGCTTGTTCAATCCCTTGGCACTAAATTGAAACAACAGGTTAGTGTTCATTAATTATAAAAGGTAAAAAGGTAAAGTCGGGAGATGTGAACCAGCATCATTGCATATGGTTATAAACCATAAGTGCTCTGCCACAGTACAGACAGCTGATAAGAAACTGTTCGCCTGTGTCGCCGTCCGCACGTAACTCTGTAGCTACAGCAACATTCCTCCATTTACCCCAGAGTGTCACTCTGGTACTCATTTCCTAGAGGCTGGGTGAACCCCGGAAACTGCCCGGTTTTAAACACCGACCATGGCTGCAGCGAGTCACAGCTGGATGTTCACTGATTATATAAGTATACAACTTTATATTGATCAGCTTCTCTGTCCTGTTCTCACAAAACGCCCAAAGATGTTGACTGCCTTCTTCTGATGCATGTAGTAGCTCTCTGTGAAGTTAATTTCTTTCATGACACATTCTTTATACTTTTACATGTCCATTATGTTATCATCTTTTGTCTGTAAAACCCCATTTATGCAGCTTCCACATAATTTTCCACTTATCTGCTGGCTGTACATGATTCACTTCCATACATCAGGATTGGCTCTGTGTGGTTCTTAACATAGTTTTAACATATGGCTGTGAATGCTGTACAATTAATAAACAAGCTATACAATTTTGTCAGGCCTCAGAAATGTGGTTCTACAGAAGAATTCTTAGAATTTCTGTCCACAGCTGAAAAGAGCAGCCCAGAAGTTTTGAAAGAGGCAATTGTTAGAAGACAACTTATCACAAACATAAGAGAGAGACATTCATTATATTATGAAAGTTTCACCTTCTGTTGGGCATCATTGCCTCATTAGCACTTTAACTTGCACATTTGTTTTATCTGTTGTGTATTCGGTTAACTACTTCAGTAGAGTTTAAAACTAAAGTAAATAATTCCACAGCTTGTCGTCGTTGGTCCGAAAACGAATAGCAATACTATAGTTTAACCGAGGTAAAAGAGGGCATAAAATACATGACTTCACAAGGGCTTCATTCATCCTAAATACAGTGCTGATGACAGCCAACATGGACTCTAAGAAGAATTAGACAAAGCAGACATGTAATGATTCTTGTTTTAACTTGGAAAGTACCTTGGTTTGCACCGGCTTCAACATCTAGGGTTGACAACACACACTAACGCTCAGCTTCTTAGTATATTCTGTCAGTTTATTCTCGTCCATTTATTTCACATGTTTAACATTATTCACACTTTATCACTCGCGACATATTCGAACATTAAACATTTGCGCAACATAAAGACGACATCTTCAAATACTACAACCGTCTTCTCTGACTTCTGATCATCGACTGACCACGAGGCTAGCTCGGGCTTCCCCTCGCTTACTCCACCGGCCACAAGTATCTCGTGCCGTGACTTGTAGCACGGACTTCCTGCTTGCCACAATGTACTCGTGGAGACCATGCAAAGCAGGGTCATCAACTCTCCCCCCTTTTTAACAAAATGACACTTTATGGAACATCAAGTGTCATTTTCATTTAACCAAATATAGTAAATCAATTTAATTGTATTCCCACTAGGGATTATGGTTCCTGATTGTCCTCAATTACTGCCCTTTAAAACTGCTTTTAATATTTACTGCCTGCTTCCTAGTACTGAGCTGGTGAAGAGTTTAAACCATCTTTGCACCTATTGCATCTGTAGTATTGTCTAGTCACTATATCTACTCTATCAGGTTTAAAGTGAAATGATGATAGTGATGATGATGATCAGCTTTGAGATATTTATTACATAGAAAATTGGATTCAACCAATATTTCTACATCACCTTTCACAGGGTGTTAAACCCCAAGGACTCTTAGCCGATATGATAGTGGTAAGATATAAACAGTAGATTGCACAATTTATTCCTGACATTATTCTTCTTCTTTCGTTCGCCTATTTCCATGACTTGTGTGCGTGGCATCCTGATTGCTGTGGTGCGCCTCCTGGCTGGTTGCCTCCAACTTCAGCACCTTGTTTAAGCAAGGGTAGACTGTGGTCATACTCGAGGAGAGTAGGCTTATCCCTTCGTCTTTCACCTTTACCTCGTTTGTTGTCCCTTCCAGTTTCCCGCTGGGGGTTGAAACCCCAACCTTCAACTGGATTGCTGGGAAGAACAGGGTCCACCACGTGAAGGTGAGGTAGGCTTGAGCAAGAGAGGCTAATAGACATTAAGAGTCTTGTATTGCGCATCATTGCTCCATTTGGACCCCATTCCTGGCATATTTCGCTGCATCTTGTGAGGGGCATGCCACGGTAACAACTATATAAATGAAGCATCATCGTCATCATCAAGTGCCTTGCCAGCTGGTGTAGGCATTCATGCATCTCCTCAAATCTTGGCCTTTGGTGTTCCAGATCAGCGCTCCATTGATGATATATCTTCATGCCACTGTCTTAAACCATCCACCATCATTCCTCTTAGTCTGCCTCTTCTACCAGTGATTTTTTTCCAGCCATCACGATATTTATAAATGAATATAGCAGATAAGTGAATTCTTTATAACTGAAGTACAAATTCAAGAACAATCAAACGCAGCTGTGCCAGGCAGTAAATTGTGCAGTCTATTGTTTGTGTCTTCTTTTTTCAGATTTACAATAAGGAAACATTGCTTTGATTCTAAGAAGACTGCTGTGAATGCCTTTCAACAATGGGGATTTATATCACGTGATATTTTAGTAGGCCTAATAGTTTCAGAGGAAGAGGGTGTTAAAGGACTATAAAGAACCTTTATTGTTATATGCACATGAGGCGTGGACATTAAGAGACAAGCTGAAGAAACATTTACTCAGACAGGGATGTGGTTTGTGACAAGAATGCCAAGGGGAAAACCCAGCAAGCTAGTCCTCCATGAGACAGATGAAAACCACAAACAGTTTTTTAGGATATCTTTTGAGAAAGAATGCACTTGAGAACTTGATAATAAGTAAGTAAAGTAAAGGACCCTTTTCAACACCTTTATAGAGCATATAGGGCTAGACCTATATTTTATAGACCAATCGGCACAAGATGGGTGATGATGTCAGCATCACGCTGGCCACCTTTACTTCCTGGGACTGCACCTGGTACTCACTTAAGGCTGGGTCGACCTGGGAGCCAAGGTCATTTAGAACTTGATAATGCCTGGCAAAATTGATGGGAAAATTGTAAGGGAAAGGCAGTGGGGGATAAACATCTGGATGGTTTAGCCATACTGATGGGGCCAGTCAAGAATATTGACCTGATCGTGATTCTTTTTCTTCTTCTTTACCCCTTGAATGCCTTTGCAGCGTCGGGGCAGGAAGAGATCTCTGGAGCGAACCCTTCTGTTCGCTTCGTACAAAGTACTTTTCCGTGTCTCTGATATTTCTGCGGTCCATTGTCTGCGCGGTCGACCTCTGGCTCTGTTACCATTATATCTGTATAGCATTGCTCTCTGTGGTGCCCTGTCTGATGCCAATAGGAACATATGAGATATCAAAACAAGACAGCCTATGCTCGTTGGCACAGCACATGGTGATGATGAAAAGGTTTCCCAAAAGTAATCTGTTTTGTTTGAATATTTAATAATAATCTTATCTTCCATTCAGCTTGATTACCATTTAATGTTTTTTATATTTAATAATAATCTTATCTTCCATCCAGCTTGATTATAATAATCTTATCTTCCATCCAGCTTGATTACCGTTTAATGTTTTTTATATTTAATAATAATCTTATCTTCCATCCAGCTTGATTATAATAATCTTATCTTCCATCCAGCTTGATTACCGTTTAATGTTTTTTATATGTAATAATAATCTTGTCTTCCATCCAGCTTAATTACAGTTTAATGTTTTATATGTAATAATAATGTTTTTTATATGTAATAATAATAATCTGATCTTATCTTCCATTCAGCTTGATTACCGTTTAAAGGAGAAATCCTATCCGTATGCCACATTCCGAGCCAAGGGAAGCATTGACCCTATTCAAGTCCACATTGTAAGAAAAGGATCGTTCGGCTTATTACGACTCTTTATGCTAGACCAGTCAAAGGTGGCTTCAAACCAGTATAAAGTTCCCAGGGTGCTGAGAAAAGAAGAGGCTGTGAGATTCCTGCTTGATAAAGTGGTTGTGTGAAATGATAAATGTGAGACACTTCAGGGTGTCCTGTGAGTTTCCACAGGTATGAAAAATAAAAATGTCACTAATGTTATTACAGGCATAACTCCAGCTATGCTTCTACCTGTTCTTCAGCAGTGGAGGAAAGACCTCGAAATGTGTTTTCAAAACAGTGGTGTTTATGTAGAGCAGAGGTTCTCAAACTGGGTCCTCGGCACCCATGGGTGGTTAAAAAAATTTTTTTTTAATTGTGATGGATGCCCTTTAAACCAATAGTGCATTATTAAGCACATGGTAATAAATTCATATTTTCATAGACCGCACAGAACTCATTGAGTCAGCAGGACCTTATATCGCCCTCTACACCGAAGCGGTAAAAGAGGATGTTAACAACAAGAAGGCAGCATCACACCAACCCCTTTAACTTCCCAAGACATTACCTATATACCATTTTAGGCTTTGTCTACCTGGGAGCCAAGGTCATTTTTATAAAAAGAATCCACATTGATATGGATTCAAACCTAAGACATTCTGGCCAACAAGCACATGTCTATCCACTGCACTGCCACAGCCCACGGTATTCAGTAGCCTATAATATACATCTGATACTCATATATTTCATTAAATGCTAGTTTCAAACCCGTGCATCCTCTAGGACCTGAACATGAAGTTCTGCATTGATCACACAGTTGAGAAAGTTTGCTTTACATTAGAAGACATTTTTCTCACTTATAATACTTTGTGTTCCTCCCTGTGTGGGGCCTGGGGCCCCATTGGATGGGGGGGGGGGGGGGTAGGGAATAGACTCACTACCCCCCTGACAAGCATGTTGTAACAGTCAACTAATTAGGGGTGGTTCCTTCTAAATCTGAGTGCATCTGCCTGAGAGGCATGGAACCAACAATCTACATACAAATAAGCCAGATCTGTAAAACAGTTGTGCATGCAAAACTTAGGTTCTGGAACAAGACTAAAGTCTAGAAGTGGATGAACAACCAGAACTTTCCACTTTACAGCTGGGGACTACCAAGTAGGAGAAGAAGAAGATTATGTTTCCATTGTGTTCATATTATTTTAATTACTTTTCATTGTCATTATTAAAAAAGTAGATTGCAAGGCTGGCATATTTCACTAGATTTCAGTTGTAAAGAATTCATTTATTTGCGTTATTTTATTCACTTGTGATTCTAGCATGCCCCTACCCAGATACAGCAAACTATGCCAGGTGATAAATTCTGCAATCTATGTTTGTATCTTTAATGTTGACATTTTCATTGTGGTAAATAAAAACGTAATAAAACACATACTTATAAATGTAGTGCCATAAGCTTATATTGAGAATCTTTATTTCTTTGAGAATGAATGAGTAAGCATGCAGGAATGGTTGTGCTGTATGGTCTGAGTGGCAAAGTAGTTTGGCTGGTTTCCTTATGCTCTGAAGGTCATGGGTTCAGTGAATAATTATAATAAAGAACTGTTATCACTGCACTCGGGACACTCCCACACATGTTCTGTCTCCTTCTTCCATAGCCAGCTAAGAGCCGATATGCTAATAGTGCCAGTTGCAATCTTATTAAAGGTCTGCCTATGTTGTTTTCCCATCAGTGTTGAATATCTTCCAGATGGGGGTCTGAGTGGTCTTGAGGTATGGTGTCTGCCTCGAGTCCTGGAGGTCCCGGGTTCAAGCCCATGTGAAGGCTGGGATTTTTTTCCACGTGGACTTCTAGTAATTTCCCCTGGTCTCTGGGTAGTAAGATCGGACGCCTGTGTGTGTTCTTGCACACGCAACAAATCCCTTGGCAGTTGGAAATTGAAAAGAGCAGTCTAATGGCGCTGTCCTGGCAAAATTTGGAGTTAAAGATCTACCCAAAGTATTTCAGGATCCTCACCGGTGCAATGGAATTCATGCACTGTGCTCAGATTCTTCAGACTCAGGCTTGAGTCAGAAGTAGAACCAAGCACTTATGGGTTACACCTGTGTGCCATGACGTTGATCACACCGGCTTATTTGTGTGCAGCTGGTTGTTCATTGCCGCTCAGGCAGATGCACTCCGAATTTGAAGGAAGCGCCCAGTTAGTTGATTCTTACAACATGCTTGTTGGGGAGGCAGCAGGTTTATTTTTTGTTCTTCCTACAATGGAATCCCAGAACACACATGGGGACATCAGTTCAGATGAAATTAAAATAACCTTGGCTCCTAGGTCAACCCAGGCTAAAATATGTATCACTGAAAGTTGTCAGAAGTGAAGGCAGCTGGCGTGATGTTAAACACACATCTTCCATTGAGGGTGGATTGAGCTATAATGTTGAATTAAGAATCAACATCACAGCACTCGGGGTACCCCCATAAGCACTCCATCCCCATCTTCAGCAGCAAGTGAAGAGTTAAAATTCCTATGGTACCAGTAACTGTCTGAATGTATGTTAGTCTCGCCTTTCCCCGAGTGTTCAGCGTTGGCCAGATCCCCTTGTAACTCCTCGCAGTGCCATTCTTCTCAGACCATAATGATCTATCTGTGCTTCTGCACTGTTCACTCGCTCCTAAAGGGCCCCCACAACATCCAGCTTGTCATACATCAGTTCACTACCAAGTGGTGCAGAACCGGCCAGTCTATCTGCCTGCTCATTTCCCAACACACCGGCATTACCTGGAGAAAATATCCAAAGGATGCTAACAACCCTGGGCCTCTGAAGTGATGCTAGCCTCTCTGCATGGAGCATGCCTGTCTCCGTCTTTCTCAACATGCTCTGTGAGTCAGTTACAATGACGGCATGTGTACAGCTGATTTTCAAGCCAGCGGAAGGCAGCAGTGACTGCCTCCACCTCCATTCTCAAACGACGTGATATATGCCAGGCTTTGCTGCACCAAGCGACGTCCATTCCCCTTCGCTATGAACCCCCATGCACTTCGTCTGCCCCTCAATACAGAGCCATCTGTATAGACAATCAAATCAGCTGGGCGGGAATTTTCATGAATCATTTGTTGAACTTCTGATTCTGCAGCACCAGCTGGCCAGTCCATACAGTCACGTCCCAAAGTGATTAGAACCCTACACAAGTCTCCAACCTGGTTGGACACTTTGACACTCCTCTCCTCGTCTAAATTTATCAAGCCTGCACACATGTCCAATTATGTCTTCAGCTTGCGCCATCCAAGACTTTTCTCTTTTCAGTCTGTGACCCTTAGCTCTATCCAGGGCTTCATGCATGATGTGCCTCTTGTCCGCAGCTACTCTGAGATATGACTTTGCCTGCAGAACTTTGAGCCTATCTGCAATAGTAGGCAGTGCAAGTATATATCGCATACCTACTAATGGGGTATCTCTTGTACATCCCAGAATTACCTCCATGGCTTCATTTTGTATGCGTTCAAGTTTCATCAGCTGACTCTTTGATATGGTAAGCATGCCAAGTCCATAATCTATCACCGACACGATCACATGCTGGAACATTGTGAACAACATTCTTTGTTCCATGTCCATTGCTGCCACAATCTTGAGAGCATTGAGTCCCTTTTTGACATTTCACCGTTAACTGCCTTCACATGATCCCTGAAGGACAGGCTTTTATCGAAAATAATACCCAGGTACTCCAGTTTGCTTTCTCTTTTGATGTTACTGTTATTAACTCTGAGGTTTGGAATGTTAGCTTTTACAATTCTATTGTCCAGAGAGCACCACAAAACAGCTGCCTTTTCTGAGTTGGTGGCAGCACCCATTTCTGCACACTAGTCAGTAGGGCTGTACCGAATATTCGCTTCGGGGCCGAATAGTTGACCTATGACTATTCAGTATTTGGCCGAATAGTTGCAGTCAGGCCGAATACAAATAGTAGTTACCTTACTCCCGCTTCTGCATACACAGCCTTAATACTGACAACATGGAAAGATTGGTTTTGTTGAAAGCTAATGCCGCTTTCATGCATTAACTAATCTGTCAGTGATAATTTACAAGTTTATTTACTTGTTATAATACTTAGGATTCTTTCATTCCTAGTTATTAGTTACCACAGACTGACTGAAGGATGAAAAACATAAAAAGTTTTTAAATATTTACTATTCTGTCCGAATCTCCCCCCAGAGGCCATTACCTTGTAGTGGTGGGGGAGCTTGAGAGCCTCAATGATCTAATGAGCTATGCCGGCAGGAACGTATATTATGGCAGGGTCACCCAAGCCCGACAGGTCACTGGTGAGGGGCCAGACTTAAGATGGCCTCCCGGTCCTCCAGGCTCTGGGGTTGGGCGCAGTGTTGACAGCTCTGCCCTGTAAAAAATCTACAACGTTACTGAAACTTCAAGAGGAAATAAGTGCTCTTAATTTCCGGAGGTCTTGGGACAGAGTCCCTCTGTCAGCATGGCGGCATCTTTGACATGGAAAACTGCACTGAAGATTGCACAGGACAGGAAAGCAAGGAAAGTCCTCTCTGAAGCCTCATATGCCACTAGGCATAACGAGAACTGATGATGATGATGATGATTTCGTCCGAATGGTAACTAGACATGGAAAGAATATAAACTCCACATCCAAGTCGATAATATGAAAATCAAACGAACGGAAACATGTAAGTACTTGGGTGCAAACTTCAACTGCTCCAACATGCTGAGATAACAAATACAATCTAGAAATAAAGAATACTATGCCCTTCAACACCTGCTAAAGTAAAAGTGTCTGTCACGCAACACCGAGATCAAAATATATGAATCGTTGATAAGACCAGTCGTTTTATATGGCTCTGAAACTTGTAGAAATTAAAAAAAAAAGATGAGGCCTTATTACAGGTTTTCGAAAACAGTTTTACGACAAATCTTTGGACCCATCAAAGATGCTAACAACGGGGAATGGAGAGTGAGAAGCAACAACGTAACACATAATCTGAATAAATTCCCATTGATCACTGGCATCTGAGAGCTAACAGACTAAAATGGTTGGGGCATATTTAAGAATGTCAGAAGACATTGAAGTAAAACTGTATACACCAGAGAGAGGAATGGGCGTAGACCACGAGGCAGACAACAA